ACTGCTGATCGATATATCAGCCAAAGAAATCGTTGCAATTTGCTGTGATCTTTGAAAGTAAACAAAACGTCGTCAAGTTATCCAACATACAGAAACTGGATTCGTCTTTTTAATTGTGTCAGGCACAGCGTTCTGTCGGACATACCATAAATATTCGAAACCGATAAACTCAGCATTAACAAGGCGATGGATCTGTTCACCACATAAACTATATATATAGAAAGAAATGGGGTGTAACGTCCACTCGACACAAACTAGGTCATCTCGGGATTAGCAGTTGGAGGAAACCGGAGGACCCGGAGAAAACCTACAGGATTGGACAGGCGACTCTATTCCTTGTAACCACAAACCAGGGAATCGAAACCACGCCAGTTGACTCAATGATAGACCTTATGATACAGCGCGCACGTGCTAACCATTCGGCCATCCAACCCCCCACATAAACTATATAAATAGTATAGTAATAAATATATATCTGACTCTTTCAGAAATAGTATATTGTTTAATTACACTCGGCAAACCTCGAACGATTCCGGTACCCTACATCTAGTTAGGTTCGTATTATCGTATTATACTTCCATTATAGATAATTCAAAATTAATATGTTAAAAATGTCATTCAAACTACTTTATTCTAAAAATACATCATGCAAGAGCTAAATCTGCCTATTGCAGGTCTTTCTTTAGGGCCTGAAATGTTATCTGTATTATTAATTAGACATTAATTAACTTATCCAGATCATAATCAACTCTCAATGTAATCGCTAGCCTGCGATATTTACTGGATTAAGATCCGATCTGCTGCTCAACTTTCATTCATGATCAAATCATGAAATGGATAATCGGGACTATGTTTTTTATCGTACCGACTTTAGTAATGATAATCAAGGCTAGGCCGAAAATTCAATCGCTAAATTCTCGGTTCAAAGTGGAGCAATTTGAAACTTTCAGCATATTCCCTTTACATTATCTAGTTTTTAATTATTATAGTGAAAACTGTCAGCTCGGTAGTTATCTAATCTTCCATAATGCCCCTTTAACATTTTAATTAACAAAGCCCAGCTTAACCAGAGCGGGTCTCTGGGACTGACTAGAATCTCGAGGCCCCTAACGCGACGAAAAGATTATTTCATATCCTTTTGAATGGCACGCATGCGTAACACGCAATTAAACGGTCTGTAATACAAGAATACTTACATAATATCTGATCACATACGAAATCTATTCAGTTCCGAATGGCATACAGCTGTTATAACAAGTGAAATCACCGGATTGAGTTGTTGCGGAGTTCAGAACAAGTTGCGTCTTTGTTTACGACTTCTGAGCCTAGACCGATCACTGATTGAAGCTTCACAGAGAAAGTTGAGGGATAGCTCAGTATCCCACCTCGCACCGCTAGATCGATTACCGCGAAACTTTCATCTGGAATTTGAATTTTTTCTCTTTTTGCCATTAACCGCCCAGCCCCCTACCTGCTCAGCTACATAATTTTTTTTGTAAATCAGTACTTTTTATGAGAAAAGTTTCTCGGCAGTGTGTTTTATCCTTTATCGTCAGATGTGGGACAGGGTGGGCACTCAAGGCACGAGATAATGATATAGACATTATGTGATATCACAATTAATGCTTTGCATCCATGAAATTGAATCACAATGTCATTGTATTAATTCATAATAAAAATTGACATCAAACGTGGTGTTGAATTTCTCTGTTTAAAAAGATCAATGTGTATGTATATACGCCAAAATGACCATAGAGACCATGCGGGGGGGGGGGGGATACATTGTCTCAGAAACCTGGCAAACTCTCTCCTGCAAAAATTCCTGGATCCGCCCCTGCTAAGCTTGGCTTTCACTATTAACCACAGGATATCAGAAACCCACTTGCATCACCTTTAAACAAATAACATTGAAGCCACAATTTATAAGCATTATTTATTTAAAAAACATCAATTTCATTAGGATAAAATATTGTTGCATACATGATCTAAAAGCTTTATTTATTTATTTATTTATTTATTTAAAAAAACATCAATTTTATTAGAATAACACATTCTTACCTACATGATCAATCAAACTCTGTATTTATTTAACAAACTGATTATAATTAAAATATATAAACAAATAATATATATTCGGTCTACCATTTTTAAAATAAATTGGTTTCATTTTCAAATACTTTTCGCAGGCTAAACAATAAATTAAAGAATACAATATACAGTGCCAGATACTTTTCGGTTGTCAAAATGGCTAAATAAATGAAATGGTCTACTTTCTACTCCCACCGGACTAATGACAATGGTGGCTAATGTTCTACTTTCTACTCCCACCGGACTAATGACAATGGTGGCTAAATAAAAGATGAGGGATAAATTATATGGTGTCACTAAAATGTATATATGAAGTTAAATTCCATTTAACATATTATTTACAAGTGGTAATGTTAATTAAAATGATCAATTATAATACTTGTATATATTGGTTATAAAATGTTGTCAAATTTAATATGTTAGGTATGACTATCTTTCCTTCAAATCATGACATCCATGCCATACGAAACATAAAATACCATTTGCCTTATCAAGAAAATTGTGCTCTATCATTGGTTACTATGAAGGATGAGCAGCTTTATATCAAAATTTTTGAATAACCCGGATGTGACTAATAGACAAATGATTACAAATCAGAAATGAATATTTCTGGTGACCTGCAAAGATTTCAAAACCTCTAATGTCTCTTTTGCATTGAAAGCCCTGGTAGGTAAGACAATTTAAAAAATCAAATATCAATATCAACACAAAAGATAGGTTGCCATCAGCTGAAACATACATGTGCCCCCCCCCTCTCAGCAGCCATACAAGGGGAGAGAGAAATGGGGTTTAACGTCCACTCGACACAAACTAGGTCATGTTCTGTTCTGGCCTTGGCTCGTGAAAGATTCTACTGGCCGAGAATGGGTGATGACATATCTGAACACATAAATGTTCTTGTTTAAAGGATAAGAAACCCAACCACCATACCAGATCTCCACTCAAGCACATTGTGGTCACAGCACCATTCCAACTAGTCTCGATAGATTTCCTTCATCTTGAGCAAAGCAGTGGTGGATATGAGTACATCCTAGTCATTCAAGACCATTTTACCAAATTCACACAATGTTACGCCAAAACAGCCGCAGAAAAGGTTTTCAATGACTTTATCTTGAGATTTGGTTTGATGGAACGACTACACCACGACCAAGGAAAAGAGTTTGATAATGTCATTTTTAAAGAAATCAAGAAGAAATGTGGAATCGCAGGCTCTCGTACATCACCGTAACACCCTATGGGAAATCTTCTGGGAGAAGAATATCCATATCGTAGAGAAACGGATGAATAATGACACTCCTGTCTATATGGTCACACCTGAATCTGGTAATGGTCGAATTAGAGTTTTACACAGAAATTTGTTATTGCCTTGTGATAGTCTGCCTTTGGAAGATGGAGATCTGGTAAAATTGGTGAAGAAGAAACGCCACACGAATACTGGTAGAAATAAGTTATCTCAGGATAATATCGATGTTAATGGTAATGATGGTACATTAGTTAATGGCTTTGACTCAGAAAGTGAAAGTGAGTATGGTTTCACTCCTTTACACTTCCCAAATCAAACATTAAATACAAATTCACCTGAATTTGTACACAACCATGATGGGCCTCAACATGAAAACAGTCCAATTGTGAACGACACTAATACCACTATTGGTGATGAAATTGCACAAAGTCCGAGTGAAAATATCAATCTAAACATTTAGATCTCACCTGAACGGAGATCCCGTGCAGGTAGGTTGAGACGCCCACCTACCAGATTGACTTACGATGAACTTGGACAAAGTAGCACTGTCCCTGCACCCGTGTCTCTTGTCCCAGTCGTCTGCTCTTCGTATCAACTTTTTAACCGTCCAGTGTTTAATCCAAACATTACATTGTGTTTTGTGCCAAATTCCATGATGTGCCAAATGAACTGTTTTTAATCTAGTCATTTATATGTACTGTGATATGACACTTAATAGTGAATAATGAGAATAGGGCCTAATAGATTACTTTAGATTATTTTCAGATTGTATAGTTTATGATTAGCTACAATTAGACGAGATGAAAGTGATTGCTAGATAAATAGAAAAATAGTGTGCCACAAAATGTGATTTCTAATGTGAAAGTTAATGTAGTATGCTAAGCTTATGTGCCGATATAAGCATTATAATTTAAAAGCACACATGTGTAACATTAATGGTGATTCAATCATTATTGAATAAAAGGAAAGTGTGCTAGAGTTCATTCATATTTGTTGGAGAAATAATTGAGCATCAAGTTGACACGCGAAGGGATGACAAGTTATTCTTAGAATTTGGTAGGAAATATGAAGTTGGAACCTGTTCGATAACGAATGCGAAATGGTATTCGGGAAAATAGACAATTAAGATGATTACAGCCTGATCAACTGGATTCATTCTCTAATACCTATTTTTATAACTGAAGATGCCAAAATATAGACTCAGCCCTACGAATCATAATGTGTTTAATAGGACTACTAAAATATTATCTTTTTCCAAACAAAGACTGGAAGTAGTGGCTATGGAAATGTGTTAAATAAATTTTCCTTTATGTTTGTTCAAATGTTCAGACGACATTAATTTAGAGGGGTGGGGGTGTAGCCATGTGGAAACTAACTTATATTTTTCCACAATTTATTTTTTTTACAAAAACTATAATGATACTGCAAATATTATATCACTTTTTGTTTCGTTTCGGAACATATGTCAGTGGTTACGAAATATCACCGGAAGTTGAAACTGCATGGTTCTCTTCCATTTTGACAATAAAATTCGATAACCGCTCACTCTCTGTCTCTAATATTTTCAGGCCTATGACCAGCTAGACCAATTGTGATGTGAGGCCAGGGTCGTGAGTTCCACTAACCAAGCCATCGAGTCAGCCCAGTCAAGAGCATTAGTCCGTGTTGATTCTAAATGTCATAAATTTAGTAATATATAATTATACAGTAGGCATAGAAGAGTTATGTCCCTTTTTTATTTGGTTTAATTTTCCTGGCATGCAACATTTATAATATATGTACAGCATTTAGAGTTATCTTTCTTAAGTCTAGAAAAAAGGTACAATGGCTGATAGATATTAAAGAAGTTTGTGTTATATAAGGGCCAAACGTATCTGTAAGCATATATTTTTGTTCTTTTGTCTTCTTTCATGTAAACTGTATGTACCAAGATCTATTTTTTCTAAAGCTGAATATAATACATGTAGAAGTAATTATTTAAGGATATCTCGAATCAAGACCGCATGGTGTATTACATTCTGCATGTCATGTTTGTCATGATCATTCTTATATTATTATAAGTGGTAAACATTAGGTTTATTTATATTTTTCAGAAATCAAACAGCTCAAGAATTATTAATGTTATTGTTGTTATTCTCATCAAATACGTAGGCCACAGTGATATTTATGTCCAAGAACTAATAAATGTGCTTTAGTACGGTAATTAATGGTCAAGACGTGTAGTGTATTTATTTGTGACAATTCTCAATAACAAGTCAAGTTGTTTTTCGTGGGTGTTTGCATTTAGACTCAAACCCTTGTACACAGTCATCTGGCTGTTACAATAATTTAGATACGGTCAAGAAAGAAACGAACTTTAATAAGAACTACTGCTATAAATTTTGACGGAAATTTAATCATTCAAGAAACTGTTATTATGGATGAAGATAACGCCCGTGTAGAGATAGCGGTAAAGGATTTAACAAGAAGGAGAAATGATTTGAGAAGATTGATTTCAAGTGAAATTAGTAGTATTGATAACAATTTTAAAGTAGAAATAAATACAATGATGTGTAAAATGGAAGAATCGTGGGACAGGTATCAGTTCATCCACACCCAAGTTCTCAGAAACGTACGAGATGACGTTGAAATTGAAGAAGAATATGTTAGATATGATGAACAGAAACAGCTAACCACCAATTTAAGAAAACGATTAGCTCAGTGGATGAAGGAAGATATACGTCTCAAGACACAGTACACTGAATTTGAAGTATCGTCAGAGAATTCATGTCAAGATAGTGTATCAGGCCTACAAACCAGATCAAAGGCGAGTTGCTCGGATAGTGATAATTCAGAACTTTCTACAACTCTTACAAATGAAAGGTTAGAAAAAGCTAGAGCCTTAAAGGAAGAAGTTGAAAATAAAATAAAGATTTTAGAAAATAAACAAAGAAAGGCTAAAGAGAGAAAGTCTTCACGTAGAGAAACGGTAAATACATGTATTCAGCCAGACCCTCCACTAAATGGCGACGTTAACATAGGTAAATGTGAACATAATCCGGCTGCCGTACCGCCGCCAAGTAATACACTCCAAGATATACTGTCAAGTCAAATGAAGTGTATGGAGAAAATGATGGAAGGACAAATGCAGAGTACTTTGCTGTTAACACTTCCGAAGCCCGAAATGCCTGTATTTAGCGGTAATCCAGTTGAATTTCACGCCTTCATGAAAGCCTTCGAGAATTTAATAGCAGATAAAACCGACAACTGTAGTACCAAGTTATATTTTCTTATACAGTATACCAGAGGTGAAGTCCAAGACCTAATGAAAAGTTGTCTTTCTAAACACCCGAATGATGGATATGCAGAAGCCATTCTGTTGTTGAAAAAACGATTCGGTCAAAACTACAAAATCGCCACAGCCTACGTTGATAAAGTGACAAGCTGGCCAACAATAAAAACAGAAGACGGCATAAATCTACAGCGTTTTGCAGATCTCCTTACTAGTTGCACTAACACTTTAAATGAAATAGGCTACATAAGTAAACTAGATAACACTGACTGTTTGAAAAGAATAATTTCCAAGTTGCCTTACGACATAAGAAAAAAGTGGAGAAATAAAGCCGACTACATAACTGAATTTCAAGACAGGGAAATCACTATCATAGATGTTACAGAGTTTGTGTCAAGAGAGGCTAGAATAGTTACACATCCAGTTTTCGGAAACGTGCAAAATACTGTTACCCCACCCGATTCAGATAAGCATAAAACACGATTCAGGGGAGGTAACTTCTCAAGAACTAATTTTTTGGCTAAACTGGAAGAAGAGAGAACGAATAAGACAGAACAAGATACGCCTTCGAGATCATTCCCAAAGTGTCCCTCTTGTAAAGGCGATCATACGTTAGTCGAATGCGATAAATTTAAGAAAATGAATATTGACGATAAACGACGTTTTGTTCAGGAAAGTAGACTCTGTTTTAATTGTTTAACTTATGGACATCGTGCTGGGTTTTGTAGAAAACGCATAAATTGTGATATATGTAAGGGACATCACGCTACCATACTTCATCAGCAGAATCCAATTCCTCAAGCTACAAGTTGTTTCACAAATGAAGGTAAATTGAAATCGTCAAAGATAGGCCAACCCTTTATTTTTGGTAAAATTAGAAATGGCGGAAAACTGTTACCAGCGATCGGGTTATATGACAGTGGTTCAAACGGCACATTTGTTACGAGTACAGCTTTAAGTAAAGTTGGTATAACCGGCAAATCGACAGAGCTAGGATTAACTACACTTTGTAAAGAAAACGATTCCGTAAACAGTTTGGTCACAGACGTGGAATTCCTCAGTCAGGATGAAGAACACCTTACTGTATTGAATTCGGTATATTCTCTCCCGTCCTTGCCTATATCGACTGCAGATATCCCAACACAAGAAGATATTGACTCTTGGCCGCATTTAAAGGGTATTACTGTACCCAAGTTAGTACCAGGACAAGAAGTTGATTTATTGATCGGCAATGACAATAGTGTTATTTTCGAACCGTTAGAAATCAGGCACAGTCAGAATAACGGCCCCTTTGCTGTCAGAACAAAATTTGGTTGGTTAATTAATGGACCTTTTGGGAAGAATGCTTCACAGCAGAGAACATGTAATTTTATGAGGAAAGATGTTGAACTTAACCAGCAGTTTGAGCAGTTTTGTAACTATGAATTTAATGATTCCATTGACGATACCCTAGTCACCATGTCTCGCGAAGATAGTAAAGCATTATCTGTATTTGAACAGTCTATAAATCTGGTTGATGGTCACTATGAAGTATCGCTGCCTTGGAAACATGATCAACTACAGCTACCAAATCCAAGAATAATGGCAGAACACAGGTTAATGTTATTGAAACGAAGATTCCTGAAAGATGCTGTTTTATTTGAAAAGTATTCAGAGATAATTAACGAACTTCTCTCCAAGAAATACGCAGAGGTAGTCCCTCCTGGCCATATAGATAGGGCTAACGATAGAGTATGGTATCTGCCACACCACCCGGTGGTAAACACAAAGAAGCCAGGAAAACTTAGGGTCGTTTTTGACTGCGCAGCAAAGTTTAAGGGAGTAGCTTTGAACGACGTACTTCTTAAGGGCCCAGATTTGACCAGTTCCCTTGTTGGAGTATTACTGAGGTTTCGCCAAGGATACTATGCATTAATGGGCGACGTAGAATCTATGTTTCATCAAGTGAATGTGCCTCAAGATGAAAGAGACGTGTTTCGTTTCCTATGGTGGCAGTCAAATGATGTTAATGGTGAACTCATTGAGCTACGTATGCGCGTCCATTTGTTTGGGGCAACTTCATCGCCCAGCGTTTGTAACTTTACCCTACGTAGAACCGCAGAAGACAACTGCGAAGCTTTTGACAGCGAAGTTGTTGAAACAGTACAGAAAAACTTCTATGTTGATGACTGTTTGAAGTCTTTGGACGATGAAAATGAAGCCATAAGTCTTGTAGACAACCTGAGGAAACTATTACTGAAAGGAGGATTTAATTTAACGAAATGGGTTTCAAACTCAAGAAACATTATTAAATCTATATCGGAGACCGAGAGAGCTAAAACTGTGAAGAACCTGGACTTCGACGGATTACCAATCGAACGTGCTCTAGGTGTTTTGTGGGATACAGAATCGGATTGCTTCACCTTTAATGTAGTGTTGAAAGAAAAACCAATAAGTAGACGTGGCATATTGTCGATCCTGTCATCGGTGTCTGATCCTTTAGGATTCGTAGCTCCTTTCGTTTTGAATGCTAAGTTGATACTTCAAGAACTTTGTCGCTTAAAACTTGGATGGGACAATAAGATACCAGATGAGTATGAGAAATTGTGGCTTTCCTGGATGGAAGATCTTCCTCTGCTATCTAATTTACAAGTCAGTAGGTGTCTTAAACCACCACCATCGTGTGCTAGAGTTGTGTCGGTACAGTTACATTGTTTTTCGGATGCCTCACAACAAGGTTATGGTGCTGTCAGTTACTTACGTTTTATTGATGATGCTGGAAATGTATGCTGTTCGTTTGCGACTGGTAAATCTCGAGTTTCACCATTAAAGAGCATAAGCATTCCCAGACTAGAATTATCAGCAGCAGTAGTCTCGGTTAGATTAAACAAAATCATTACAAGAGAACTACAGATGAAGATAGACAAGAGTTTTTATTGGACAGATAGTACTTCGGTACTAAAGTATGTCAACAATCAAGATAAGCGGTTTCATACTTTTGTAGGCAATCGAATTTCGACTATTTTAGATGGATCTCAGCCTTCGCAGTGGAAGTACGTGGAATCGGCAAGAAATCCCGCTGATGAAGCTTCAAGGGGCGTTGCCGCCAAGACTATTTTGGGAGGTTCCAAGTGGATATCGGGGCCGGATTTTCTTTGGAAGGATGAGTTAGAATGGCCCAGTCAGCCCCATGAATATGTAATTCAAGACACAGATCCCGAGGTTAGAATTGAAAAACATTCACGGTTTGTTATAAAGGGAGATAACTCCCTTCTCGATCAGCTCGTCAAAAGATTTTCGTCGTGGTACAAGTTAAAAAGGTGTGTGGCATGGATCTTAAGGTACCGGGAAATTCTTAAAGCTAGATGTCAAGGAAACCAGGCTGGTCGAGATGTTAAGAAATTACAGGAACCCTCTAGACTAACAGTTGTAGAGTTAACGGCTGCAGAGACAGAAATTTTGAAGCTCGTGCATAAAACTAGTTTTCCGGAAGAGTATGCTGTTTTGTCAAAGAAAGATGAAAATGGTCGTGTCAGCAGAAAGAGTCCTATATTTAAGTTGGATCCAGTACTGATCGGAGGTCTAATTAGAGTAGGTGGTCGCCTGAGAAGACACAATGGACTATTCGACACAAAGCATCAGATCATTTTACCCAAGCGGAATCCTGTGACTGAATTAGTTATTCGCCATTATCATGAGATGTTAGCTCATTCTGGTAGAGAATATTGTTTATCTAGTATTAGAAGGAGATTTTGGCCTATAAATGGTAACTCTGCGGTACGTCGAGTTTTAAGTGATTGTTATAATTGTCGCAGAAGGAATGCACCAGTTTGTAATCAACGAATGGCTGATCTACCAAAGGAACGAGTCACTCCAGATCTTCCACCATTTTCCTACATAGGAATAGACTGTTTCGGACCGTTCTTTGTGAAGAGAGGAAGAAGTCAGCTCAAACGATATGGGTGCATTTTTACCTGTCTGTCCTGTCGTGCGGTTCATCTCGAGGTTCTGCATTCAATGGACACAGATTCTTTTCTAAACGCCTTTCGTCGGTTCATATGTAGGCGAGGATCACCACTGAAGATTAGAAGTGACAATGGTGGTAATTTTGTTGCTGGTAGTAAAGAGATTAAAGGGTCAATAGAAGAATGGAATCGGAAGCAGGTTGATGATTTCATGCTACAGAGGGAAATAGAATGGTGTTTTAATCCACCAGCGGGGTCACATTTTGGTGGCATCTGGGAAAGGTGTATCCGCTCAGTTCGTAAAATTTTAGATTCACTGCTGAATGAACAAGTATTGTGCGGCGAAAGCCTGAACACTTTGTTTTGTGAAGTGGAAATGATTATTAATGGACGTCCGTTAACCAAGGTATCTGATGATCCCAATGATCAAGAAGCTTTAACCCCAAATCATTTGATGTTGCTCCGTGCCGCAGGTAGTTATCCACCTGGTTTATTCGTAGAAAGGGACCTGTACGTCAGGAACCGATGGAGGCAAGTCCAGTACCTTGCTAACGTTTTTTGGCGTCGATGGACACGTGAATATCTTCCGCTCCTACAGGTGCGACAGAAGTGGAATGAGAAACAAAGGAACTTAGTCATTGGTGATGTCATTTTACTTGCTGATAAGGATCAACCGAGAGGATCGTGGCCTTTGGGACGTGTGGTTGAAGTTTATCCGGATGACCAGGGAACAGTGCGTGTTGTAAAATTACTGACTAAGGATTGTAAATCTTTATGTAGACCTGTAGATAAGTGTGTATTGCTAGAAAATGCATCTGATTAGAATATTGTGCTTCGTGGTATATGATATGTAATTAATTGCTATGGTTAAGACAGTATTATTAAGAATCAGTAATGTTACTTTTATTGTGTACTTTTTATGGTTAGGATAGTGTTATTTAGAATCATTAATGTTACTTTTATTAAACGTTTCACTAGTTAAGTTCCACGTTTAACGGGGCCGGTATGTTGATTCTAAATGTCATAAATTTAGTAATATATAATTATACAGTAGGCATAGAAGAGTTATGTCCCTTTTTTATTTGGTTTAATTTTCCTGGCATGCAACATTTATAATATATGTACAGCATTTAGAGTTATCTTTCTTAAGTCTAGAAAAAAGGTACAATGGCTGATAGATATTAAAGAAGTTTGTGTTATATAAGGGCCAAACGTATCTGTAAGCATATATTTTTGTTCTTTTGTCTTCTTTCATGTAAACTGTATGTACCAAGATCTATTTTTTCTAAAGCTGAATATAATACATGTAGAAGTAATTATTTAAGGATATCTCGAATCAAGACCGCATGGTGTATTACATTCTGCATGTCATGTTTGTCATGATCATTCTTATATTATTATAAGTGGTAAACATTAGGTTTATTTATATTTTTCAGAAATCAAACAGCTCAAGAATTATTAATGTTATTGTTGTTATTCTCATCAAATACGTAGGCCACAGTGATATTTATGTCCAAGAACTAATAAATGTGCTTTAGTACGGTAATTAATGGTCAAGACGTGTAGTGTATTTATTTGTGACAATTCTCAATAACAAGTCAAGTTGTTTTTCGTGGGTGTTTGCATTTAGACTCAAACCCTTGTACACAGTCATCTGGCTGTTACAGTCCGTTCGTGACATATCTTGCAACCACCTCAATTAACTTGAGCAAGACGTGTTACATAAACAACATATATCGATTTTAAAACAATTGGATGATAACTTTTGGCGTTAGAGCGTTCCCAAGAAATTGTGGATGGACGGACGGGCGGGGGCGACGGCAATGTACGTCCACATTTCTATGTGGGCGTATAATAAAATAAATCTTGATGGGATCCCAAGTCTGTTTTTAACCACATTTCAATGTGAGTGTGTAAAAATCTATATGTGTTTTATATTGACAACCTTGAAATAATAAACTAAAGCAAAACAAAAAAATATACATATATCATGATGAATGAAACGACTACAAATCTTTGTACATATATTATGATAAATGAACTTTCATGTGAAGTTTCAGTTTACGTTTTGCATTAAAGGCCTTATCACAAAATTCACATTCAAATGGGTTTTCTTTAGAATGGGTTACCATGTGTTGCTTTAAATTACTTTTATCAGCAAATGTTTTACTACAAACATCACATTGAAATGGCTTAACTCCAGTATGAACGAGCTTATGTTTGGCAAGATTACCTCGAGCAATAAATGATTTAGAACAAAGATGGCATTTATATGGCCTTTCACCTGTATGAGTTCTAAAGTGTGTCTTTAGGTTATCATTTTGTTTAAATCTCATGTCACAAACATCACATTTGTAAGGTTTAAGGTCATGCTTTCTGATTTGATGATTCTGTAGAAAATTACTCTGGACAAATGACTCGTCACAAAATTCGCATTTAAAAGGTTTTGGTTTGGAATGGCTTTTCATGTGTTTTTGCAAACACACAGGAAGAATAAAAGTTTTACTACAAAGTTCACATTTATATGGTTTTTTTCCGGTATGAGTTACAATGTGTCTATTAAGATCACTCATCTTACGAAATGATTGCTCACATACATTACATTTTAGGGACGGTTCTCCGTGATTCTCCTTTACGTGTGTTTTTAAACTTTTTGGGTGACTATATGACTTGTTACAAACCTCGCACTGGAAAGGATTATCTTTAGTATGTAACATCATGTGGATTTTAAAAGGTTCTTTGTAGCAAAATCCTTTATCACAAACATCACATACGTAAGGTTTGTATTCTGAATGGGTGTAGCCATGAATTTTTAAATAGCTTTCTCTTGCAAATGATTTATCACACACATGGCATTTATATGGTTTATTTCCAGTGTGAGCAATCAAATGTGCCTTCAGCTGGCTGGGATTACCATATAACTTACCACATATTTTACACTTGAGGTGTTTTTCCTTAGTATGAATTTTGGCATGCTGATTACGAGTTTTTTCACAAGTAAATGCTTTACCACAAACATCACAATTAACAGGTTTTTCACCTGTATGTGTCAAAGCATGATATTTGAGTTGAGTTCTTCTAGAATAGGATTTACCACAAATATCACATTTGTAATTCTTCTCACCTGTATGAATTCTCAAGTGAACTTTAAGTTTGTGTTTGAAATAAAATGACTTGCCACAAATGTCACAAGTAAAATTCTTTTCTTCCTTGTGAATGACCATATGTATAGCTAGATTACTCTTTAACCCAAACGATTTACCACATTCAGTACAGGTAAATGGTTTCTCACCTGTGTGAATTCTCTTATGTACAACTAGATTACTGTTCGTATTAAATGACTGACCACAAACATCACATTCAAAAGGTTTTATTCCTGAATGAATTTTAGAGTGATTGCGTAGTTGTGTGTTGGTACAAAATTGTTTATGACAAACAGCACAAGAAATAACTTTAATCCGAGCTGCACAATGCCTGTCGAGTTGCGTGGATTTATAGAATTTAACATTGCAAATAAAACATCTAAAACAAGTATGGGTATTCATATGCGATTTCAGATTGCTATGTGTAAGAAACAATTTATCACAAACATTGCATTTACAGGATTTTCCTTGGTTATCATCGTGAATAGTCATCATGTGAGTACGAAGGTAGCTCTCTAATCGAAATCTTTTAAAACAAATTTTACATTCTGAAGGTTTTTCTACAGAATGAGTTTTCAAATGGTTCTGAAGATGATGCTTTCTAAATGATTTCCCACAAAAATCGCACACACAATCTTTATCTTTATGAATTCTCCTGTGTGTCAATAGAGAGGAGGGACTCCTAAAAGATTTACTACAAACATCACATTTATAGGGCTGTTCGCCTGTATGAATGCGTAAATGTATTTTTAGACAAGCATTTGTAACAAATGACTGATCACAAACACTGCATTTAAAGGGTTTTGCTTTAGTGAGTAATATAGGAGCAAGATATCCTTGAATTTCCTCATCTTTATCTTCTTGTATTTCATGACATTTATTAATCAAGAGATTTTTATTTTTCTTAGTTTTATCAATTTCACATGACTGTTTTTCTTTCTCCATATCATTTTTCACTAATTTCTGATCTTTCTTATCCAATATGTTTTGTATTCTGCTTTTTTCTAAACCATCTACTTCACTATCCAAATTAGTTTCATCACTATCATTAACATTCCTACTAACATCAACACCATTAACCTTGCCTTCATCATCATCATCGCCATTGTCGCCATTGTCACCACCACCACCATTAGTAACATCTGTATTATTTAAATTAGCTCCATTAAACTTTCCATCATCACCATCAGTAACATCCTCACTATTTATATTACATGTAGCTCCATTATCCTTACCATCATCACCATCATCATCATTATTATTAACAGTCCTACTATTTACCTTGCCAGCACCACCATATACCTCAGGAGGACTATTAACATCACCATGATCATCACCATTAACCTTGTCACCAATTTCATTAACCTTGTCGTCATATACCTCATCACTATTCACTTTATCAGCTTTATCGCCATCATTTCGATCAACATTAACACCGTCATTTACCTCCGCATTAACATCACCACCATTCTTACTATTAACATTTCCAGCAGCAGCATTAACCTGACCATCAACCTCCTTACAAGCATTAACGCCATCAGCATTAACACCAGAATTAACACCATCATTTACATCAGCATTAACATCCCCACCATTCCAACTGTTAACATTGCCAGCAGCAGCATGAACCTGACCATCAACCCCCTTAATATCACCATTACCTCCATCAAATAAAACCTCTTTTTTTTCTTTATGAGTTTTCATATGTTTGTTCAGTTTACTTTGTGTTAAAAATAATTTATCACAGACAACACATTTAAAGTTCTTGTTTCTTCTGTGAATCTTCAAGTGGACCTGAAGATGACGCTTTCTAAATGATTTCCCACAAAAAGAACATAGAGCGTCTTTTTCGTTATGAATTATGCTGTGTGTCGAAAGAGAAGATGAGCTACTAAATGATTTACTACAAACATCACATTTATATGGCCTCTCCCCAGTATGAATGCGCATATGTGTTTCCAGAACAACTTTCTTAGCAAATGATTTATCACAAACATCACATACAAAAAGTTTTATTCTCAAATGTTTTTTGTCATCTTTGTGAATCTTCCTGTGTTTCTCTCCTGCGTGAACACGCAAATCTATTTTAAAATTATCCATGCTGGTAAATGATTTCTCACTAACATTACATTTCAAAGCTTTATCTTTAGTATGAATTCTAGGACCACCATTGACCTCACCATCATCACCACTATTGGCCAGACCATAATCATCACCATCATTGACCTCACTATCATCACCACCAATGAACTTGCCATCATTGACCACACCATCCTCACCATCATTGACTTCACCATTATCACTATGATTAACTTCACCATTATCACTATGATTGACTTCACCATTATCACCATGATTGACTTCACCATTATCACCATGATTGACTGCACTATCATCACCCACACTATCATCATCACGCTTGACTGCACTATCATCACCACCATTGACCTCATCATCATCACCCACACCACCATCAACCTCACCAACACCGTCATCATTTATCTCTTCATCATCACTTCCATGAAACTTCATAACATGTGCTCGAAGATTTTGCTTTCGTGTAAATAGTTTTCTACAAATTTTACATTCGAAGTGTTTTTCTACAGCATGAGTTTTGATGTGTTTCTGAAGATAATGCTTTCTATATGACTTCCCACAGATATTACATGTACTATCCTTACCCTTATGAATCTGTCTGTGTGTCAGTAGAAGTGCAGAACCCTTAAATGATTTACTACAAACACAACACTGATAGGGTTTGTCACCTGTATGATCACGCACATGTATAACTAAATTACCTTTGCTAGTAAATGACTTCCCACAAACATGACATTTAAAACCTTTTCCTTCTGAAGGAGCATGATGAACATCATCATCTGCTCTTTCTTCACATTCGAAATCCCTTTTTAGAGAATTAGTTTTAAAATGTTGATTTGCATTACTTTGTGTAGAAAATAATTTATGCATCTTTAGACGACTCTGGCAAGTAAATGACTTGTCACAAATATCACATTCAAAAGTTTTTCCTTGAGTATTAACATGAGTTTTCAAATGTCTGTTCAGTTCTCCTTGTGTAAAAAATAATGCATCACAGATATCGCATTTACAATTCTTTTCTCCACTGTGAAACCTCACATGTTCATGAAGCCCACGCTTAAATTTAAATCGTTTTCTACAAATTTTACACTCGAAAGTTTTTTCTACACCACCATTGACCTCATCATCATCACCCACACCATCATCACCACCATTGACCTCACCATCATCATTTATCTCTTCATCATCACTTCCATGAAACTTCATAACATGTGCTTGAAGACTGTTCTTTTGTGTAAATAGTTTTCTACAAATTTTACATTCGAGGCGTCTTTCTACAGCATGAGTTCTGATGTGTTTCTGAAGATAATGCTTTCTATATGACTTCCCACAGATATTACATGTACTATCCTTACCCTTATGAATCTGTCTGTGTGTCAGTAGAAGTGCAGAACCCTTAAATGATTTACTACAAACACAACACTGATAGGGTTTGTCACCTGTATGATCACGCACATGTATAACTAAATTACCTTTGCTAGTAAATGACTTCCCACAAACATGACATTTAAAACGTTTTCCTTCTGAATGAGCAAGATGAACATCATCATCCGCCTTTTCTTCACGTTCGAAATCCCTTTTTAGAGAATTAGTTTTAATTTGTTGATTTACATTACTTTGTGTAGAAAATAATTTATGCATCTTTAGATGACTCTGGCAAGTAAATGACTTGTCACAAATATCACATTCAAAAGTTTTTCCTTGAGTATTTTCATGAGTTTTCAAATGTCTGTTCAGTTCTCCTTGTGTAAAAAATAATGCATCACAGATATGGCATTTACAATTCTTTTCTCCACTGTGAACCCTCATATGTTCACGAAGCCCACACTTAAGTTTAAATCGTTTTCTACAAATTTTACACTCAAAAGTTTTTTCCATAGAATGAGTTTTAATGTGGTTCCGAAGATGATGCTTTCTGAACGATTTCCCACAAATATTACATACAGAGTCTTTTTCCTTGTGAATTCTGCTGTGTATGAGTATAGAGGCTACACTGCTAAATGTTTTACTACAAACATCACATTTATATGGCTTCTCACCCGTATGAATTCTCAAATGTATTCTTAGACTACCAGAAGTTATAAATGATTTTCCACAAACATCACATTCAAAAGGTCTTTCTTTAGTAACATTTGTTTTCTTTTCTTCAGTTTGTTTACTAAGATCAATTTGGGATGATTCTTTGTCTGGTAATTCAAACTCTTTCACCACAGGAACTTGTAATTTATCATTTGTCTCTAATTTCAGATCTTTATTAACAGATATATCTTGTATTCTCCTTGTCTGTAAATCATCTACTTCATTCAACTCATTGATTCCAGCAACATCAGCACCACCACCATGGTCACCAGTGTTATCCCCTTCATGGTCATAAACAGCATCACTGGCATCAAAACCATCAACATTGCAATTACCATCCACATCCCCACCATCAACACATGTTTTCTCTTTTTTCATATGAACATGGCAACGCTGTTCTGTGTCAGTGTTTGAGTCAAATTTTTCATCACTCATCTCAGATTCATGTAATGTTTTATCATTAGCAGAATTCCTTTCCTGCAATGAAATAAATATGTTAAAATACAGTATTAGTGTATTCTGTGAATGGCATTTAGTAATTGGAACATAATCAGAAAGCACACTTTTATGGAATAACTATGGTGGCTGTTAGTGGCCATTCAAATGTCATCTAAATCGTCGCCTTATGAAGAAGGCGACAAGTCGTCAGAATTGACCTGACAGGTCGACGAAATGAAGGTGACGATTGTCGGGTCAATTTGTCGACTTGTCGGGTTGTGAATAAGTCCAAGGTGACAAGTCGACAGAATTGACCCAACAAGTCGACTTATTCACAACCCGACAAAATACAATTATTCCGACTTGTCGTGCGGCGATTTGTCGCCTCGGAAGTTAATCTGTGTGCATGCAAGTTATCCAATCAGCAAATGCACAAGCTCGAGCTTGACTTCCGAGGCGACAGGTTGCCGCATGACAAGTCGAAATAATTGTATTTTGTCGACTTGTCGGGTTGTGAATAAGTCGAAGGCGACAAGTCGACATAATTGACCCGACAAGTCGACGAAATGAAGGCGACGATCGTTGGGTTATTTTGTCGTGTTGGCGGGTTCATTTTGTCAACTTGTCGCCTTCTTCACAAGGCGACGATTTAGATTCATTTGAATGGCCGCTAACGGCCACCATTAATAACACAATTACTATGGTTTATTTCACTGCGATGTTTCAACAAGATTTCACAAGTCGTTATCAAGCATATACACAAATAGATAAATAATGAGAAAAATAGGAATATATATATATATACAAACATCAGTGCGAACTATCCAATGGAATGCAAGGAGAGTGAATGTGAGGATAAGTAAATTTGAGGATAAGTATATACGTGCAAACAACAGTGTGACCTTCTTAATGAGATGTAGAAACAGTGACTGAAACATACATTATGCAAGAGCTAAATCTGTCTATTGCAGGTCTTTCTTTGGGCCTGAAACATACATTATGCAAGAGCTAAATCTGTCTATTGCAGGTCTTTCTTAGGGCCTGAAATGTTATCTAAATTATTAATTATAATTAGACATTAATTAACCTATCCAGACCATAATCAACTGGCTTTAGTAATGATGATAGAGGCTAGGCGGAAATTTCAAACGCTTAGTTCTAAGTTCATAGTTGATCAATTTGAATGAAACTTTCAGCAAATTGCTTTTACATTATCTAGTTTTTAACTATTATAATGAGAACTGCCAACTCGTTATCGAATCTCCCATAATGTATATTTAATTCCCAAAGGCTTAATTGTTAAATGTCCAGTGTACTCATGTTCACTCTCCTTGCATTCCATTGGATAACGACTTGTGAAATCGTGTTGAAACGTTGCAGTGAAATAAACCATAGTAATTGTTATTCCATAAAAGTGTGTTTTTGACAGTATTAGTGTATTTACAACTCATTTTTTCAGATACATGTACAAATATATTGTTATTGTGACATGTGCCAATCTCACTTGTCATGTTTTAGGCCCGCCTACCCCACTAAAAGCCATTGACAGAAGGGAAATTCAATGGTAACTGACATGCATGTACATTTTTAAACTTATATTTTCTGCAGGAACAAATTGCCAATTCTTGAGACATTATTAATAAAACAACACTGGTAAGCTGATATTGTTGACTAATGTACTTAGGCATTTAGTAATGACAATTTTTGTCATTAAATCATATAATTATGTGGTCAGTATTTTAAACTAATGTTTAGTATGTATAGAAAGTGGTTAGAAATTTTACAGTTGTCATTATTTATCAGGTGTGTAAAATATGTCACTACTGGTGTAAAAGCGTGAATAATTATAACACCCATCACTATTGAATACACAAACCTGGACAATTGTGGGGTTTTTCATTTAATAGTCACAGTTTTAACACCTTGGTGACAAAACACTTACTTACTTAATGACCACTGCCTGATTACTAACAATTTTAACTAACTAATACACATTTTGTATATAAACTGACGACTGATCTATTAATGTCGTATATTTTCATTTATAACAGTTATTTGTTGCTTTGTCAACGATATCAATATTACAAAGTAAGAAGCAATGGAGATATACAAGACAAGTGAAATAATGTTTCAAGTCTTCTTTGCCACAAGACTTTATTTGTTCATAACCACTGGAAATAAATACTGTCCCATCTACTCGAAGTATAGAAATAAACAAAATGATTTGCTTTTATGAACAAAGTAAGAAATCTGTTAAGGATCAAAGGATGAGATCTTTAGCTAAACAATTATATAATGCCTGCTTCGAAAAGCTGATAAAAACGACTTTCACTTACATTAATACTGCTCAGCACTGCACTGGTCAAACCATTTATTTCTGCCTCTATTTGAGACAAAGATAATACAGATGAATCGATGTAACATTTGTGATTTAAACAACTCTGTGATTCAACGGTTTTATCACAAGCATCGCAATGGAAAAATCCTTCTTCGTCTCTTTTAACATGTATTTCACAATGTTTTTCCAAGTCTGTGTACAAATCAAATTTATCATCACACACATTACACTGATAAAATGATTGATCATCAACTGAATCCATTTCCTGAAATACAATAATTGTAATATAATTATTATCAATTTAATGTCCAGTTCATTTACAGTATTAATATACACAAATGTACATGTACTGGTAGCTTAGGAACAAAGTTCAAGACAAACTCCAGAAAAAGATTTGAAATAAATGAATAAATTGGAGGTTCTAATATATTCATATTCTCTGTCCACTGTCTTTCACTGAAGAAGGAATGGTTTTCAAATGAATGGTAGCAATACATACAAAAATCACAACAGAAGAAATAGCGTTAATTTCTACTCTGTGTCCAATTATTCACAAATATTGTTGAATTTCGGCGAATAGTGCTCAATTTGTACTTCTATCGAATTTCAATCTCACTGTTTAATTTTGATTAGCAGGCGTCTAATTAACTAGTGTTTAGTTTCTTGACACGTGTTGAATTATAAGCGTCCTGTCTAATTAGCACGACTGTCGACTGTTCAATAATTAGTTGGGCCGTTCAATTTCCTGAGCCGTGATTAAAATCAGTCAAGATGTCCAATTACGCAAGGTGTTCAATTTTGTTGTCAAACATCTAATTTCACGTGCGATGTTCAGAAATTACGATGTGTTTAGGTGTTGGTCATCGTTCAGTTTTGCCGCCGAATGTCTATTTTGCCTCACGATGTTGAAATACTGTAATAAGAGTTAGTTTTCGTACTTACCTGTTGCGATACGGTGAAATATTATTTTTCAGGATTCATCCGACGGCAGGTATCAGTACAAACGTCGCGAAGGTTTGACGAAACACGATTATCGTGTCGTTTTTTGTTGAAAATTGCCAAGATAACGCCACGATAAATAACTCGATGTAGCAGTCGCTATCGTGTGCCACGATAGTCGTGTGACACAACAGGCCTCGGTGTAATTTTACATGCAAAATTAACGGTATTTATTTGTCATAAACAATCGATGTCAAAACGATATACTGCCACGATGTTATGAATGTTGAATATTTTCGTTAATAATACGGACGCGTTAGTCCACGTTGTATAGTGAGAAAACGCGTGTTCACATATTCTGCACGATATATATGCGGTTATATTTTCAACCAGTCATATAAAGCTGCATGTCTAGAACATTTTAAAGGACACGTATGCATAAGACTATACACGTATTACACAGTTTAGATATTTATGCTGTGTTCAAATTGTTTTGCATATTTACTGTATTAAGAGTGTATAGTTAAGAATTACTCTTGAATTACGGCAAAGATAGACTTTTAAATTGCAAACTATAAAGGTATTTTGGTTATTGGTCTTAAAAATAGAAATACATGTAAGACATAAATAGAACTTGCAAAGGGATTCGAAAGCGCTTTCAAGTCGGACGTAAGCTCGTACTTACCGTAAAAATGAACTGAACGCAACACAAGCCTCCGATGTAAGAGAACATTAGTTAGTTATAACCGCTATCAAATCCACACAAAAATCCAAGGCACTCGTTTTATTTTAGAAAAGAATAACTGTATTTCCACCGAAGAGCCTATTCCACATGAACCCCAAATCAATGATGAACTGTCAACTTGTTATGTAATGTCCTATGTATAAAAGATCAAAGAATAAAATTGCACGTAGCCACTTTGTTTATCTAAAAGGGACTCCAGCGCACTTTAAGGAATTATTTTTGGCCCAATATTAACCATCGCCATTTTTTTAGATCATGGGATAAAGTCAATCAACAAACAATACGGGTCTACTTTATTACAAAAACATTGGTGAACTTATCATTTTGTCTAAAATCATAACGCTAATCAACAAACAATACTATTGTTCTTTATTACAAAAACATCGGTGAACTAATCTCTGTCGTGATGGCGAACAAAGCTAGTTGATTAATAGGTAAATAAAACAATATACACAACCAATGAGTAAAACTGATTTATTCCAATCAATTTATATACGAGTCAAGTATTACCTTAACCGTGTACGAGTTTGCTTCTGAACGGGTTAACTGACACCCTTTCAACTTGTAAATTCCAAATACAAACTGCTTACCGTATTCATGCCATAGACACTAATATCCTAATTAAAAAAAAGTTTGTTTCCAATAATTAAAGACACAAATATTAAACATGCATTATGCAAGAGCTAAATCTGATTATTGCAAGTCTTAATTTAGGCTTCAGATGTTATAGAAATTATAAATTAGATCTTTATTTAAACAACAAGACCAAAATCAACTCTGTAGACCAAGGGATGGCTCGGCTACAGCTCGGATTTAAATAGGATTTCACTAATTGATTAAATCAGATAAGGGGTAACCTGATGAAAATACGTCTGTTAGATCGAGGCTAAATGATAGAGTGTACTTAGCGAGGCCGCTGTAAAGCGTTTCCGTATGCCATTGAAAACTTTACTTGATAATCGAGATATGTAGGTGGAGTTAACGCCTGTCAATCAAACGATCACCTACCATTTCTAGCCAAATATTACAACAATGATAACTATGTTCAGAATAATGTAATTTGACTGACTTTTTCAATATATTCTTCTTTCATCATCTACTTTTGAACTGTTATAGCAAGAATGGCCAACTCTCTATAAAAATCTCCCATAATGTATCTTTAATTTTGATTGTTTTATCCATCAACACAAAAAGTAAACTCATCTAACAACCAGATCTTATGAATTCGAGCCTCTTCAATAGTTATAAAGCACATAAAAGAGTGTAGAATAAAATTGCCTAACAGAAAAAAAACATGCTTTACAAGTTGTTAAAGGGATGTGGGGCTATTTAAGGAATGACGTTTGTGCACAATACAATGAAATAATTACCACCGGTGTAAGGAATTATTTTGACAATATTTCAACTGCAAATATGATGACTAAACATCAGTTTGTTCAGAGGACACTCTGCATGCGCGAACTTTCAAGTCTGTACTGATTTTAAAAAAAATAAACAATCCCACATATCCACATTCCTAAAAACAGGAGTTTTACCGTAACACAGTAATCACAATTACTAGTTACAAATTGGTATTAAATGTAACGGGTGGAGTGGGGGTCCGGCCAAATCGCGACAAATAACTTCTTAGTTAGTCATATTGTAAGTGTAACTGTGTTTTCTTTATTTTGACATTCTGCTAATTGAGAAACCATTTGAGTAATAAATACAAGTTATTGAATGGACTGAAGCTACATGTAAAATCACAAGACATCTCTTTTCAAAATTTGTAATTATTACTACTGACAATTAACAATAAAAGTCATATTGTCCACACAAATACAGCAAGGTAACAGTTTGTTGTTAAAGGGGCGTCTACGTTCTGTCAATCGGTTTCTTTTGATGTTACGTGTCAATTCTCATTATGGAACTTTGATTGACAGTATGCATCCACCAGACTTTTTGGTGCCGAAATGAACCAGCGGGTGCCAGGCAGGATACACCCACATTTTCGCGAGATGGATAGAGAACAAGCTAAAAAGAAAGTGATTTTTCCTACAATCAAGGGTCATAATTCAAGAAATTACAATTTGATATGCGCAAATATCAAAATGAACCAAGATATTTGGGTTATAAACTTACATTTCAAGTTTCAACAAAATCGGATAAAAATTGTGACCTCTATAGGGTCCACAACCTTGATATACCATATTTTGATGCTATTTGAAAACGAATGGCGGCCATTTTGTCTGTCAGTTTTGGGCCGGTTTCCACAAAATTCAAACTCAGTCGTCCTTAGGGTGTAACGGGAATATACTAAAACGTTTTTTTAAATCGGATAAAAATTATGACCTCTATAGGGTCCACAAGCTAAAAATGCGATTTTTCCTACAATCAAGGGCTATAATTCAGGAAATTACAATTCAATATGCACAAATATCGAAAAGAGCCAAGATCTTTGTGTTATAAACTTACATTTCAAGTTTCAACAAAATCGGATAAAAATTATGACCTCTATAGGGTCTACAACCTTGATATACTGTACCATATTTTTTACGCTATTTCAGAACGAAGGGCATTCATTTGGTCTGTCAGTTTTGGGTCGATTTTCACGAAATTTGAACTCAGCCATCCTTAGGGTGTAACAGTGATATAATAATACGTTTTTTTAAATTGGATAAAAATTATGACCTCTATAGGGTCCACAAGCTAAAAATGCGATTTTTCGTACAATCAGGGGTCATAATTCAGGATCCGATATGCGCGAATATCGAAAGGAACCAAGATCTTTGGGTTATAAACTTACATTTCAAGTTTCAACAAAATCAGATTAAAATTGTGACCTCTATAGGGTTCACAAGCTAAAAACGTGATTTTTCGTACAAACGGGCCATAATCCATGAAGTTTCAATCCGATAAATGCCAATATCGACAGGAACCGAGATCTTAGGGTGATAAACCTATATTTAAAGTTTCATGACATTGAAATTGGAAAAAAATTGTGACCTGTAGAGTGTACACAAACAATTGTGGTCAGACGGACGGACGGACGGACAGGGGCGACAATATACGTCCACATGAAAATGTGGGGGTATAAAAATAATATTTCACCGTATCGCAACAGGTCAGTACTAAAACTAACACTTATTACAGTATATCAACATTGTGCAGCAAAATAGACATTCTGCGGCAAAACTGAACCATGACTAACAACTAAATGCAACGTAATATCTGAACATCGCACATGAAATTAGATGTTTGACAACAAAATTGTTGCGTAATTGGATACCTTGACTGATTTTAATCATGGCCCGGGAAATTGAACGGTCCAACTAATTATTGAACAGTCGTGCTAATTAGACAGGACCCTTATAATTCAACACGTGTCGAGAAACTAAACACTAGTTAATTAGACGCTTGGTAATCAAAATTAAACAGTGAGATTGAAGTACAAATTGAGCACTATTCGCCGAAATTCAACAATATTTATGAATAATTGGACACAGAGTAGAAATTAACGCTAGATTAAACGGTACCAATGTTATAGTGTAGCTTGCCTTTAGTAAAGATTTTTGAGGCACACAATTAAAAGGAAGCTATCAATAGACATAGGCCTATCTATTGTCGAGTTTCCAAAATAAGTCAATAAAATTTACACTCCACCCTGTAAAAACACATAGAAAGAGTTCTAAACCAAGCAAATCCTCCAAATTGAACTTTCGCAGTAAAATTTTGCCCAGAAAAATTGACTGGTGGCCCAAACATTTTCGACAAGGATTCAACAGGGCAGTTCCTGAACGTATTGGGCGAGTGTAATGAGACTGGACATGTACGTTCAGAGCTGAACTTGAAGTGGTCTCTGTTTTGGTCCAAGTGGTCTCCTTTCTGGTACGAGTGGTCTTTGGTCCGAGCTGCGTGTATAACGTCCGAAAAGTCGTCAAGGAAGCCCAAAAATTCGTTTATTGTGTTGAGTTCGAAAGGACGCGGAAATGGAATTATTGAATTAATCAAACCAGTGAAATTTGAGTCAACAACATTAACAGTAACAGTTCAGTGCAGTTTGTACTGATTCCTTCACTGTTTCGGAGACGCAAACATAAAAAAAGAAAAATTTACTCACAATGCAGGTTTAAGGTCGCTTAAAAAAAACAAAGGTCTTGCAAAATTTGAAAATTTACATGTACGTCTCCATCTTGAATAAAATTAATTACTTCGATGTATATAAAATAATGACTGAGATCTTTTCGTTCCGAGTAACCCACAAGATAATAAAATATTCATAATTCTGTACATCCCACTGGAATTCCCAGCGAAGCCTTGAAATAATTATTTCAAACATTGTATATAATCTAACTCGAGCAATGCCAGTGTAACCGAATAGTCAAATCAATATTTGAAATAAATCTTCCAAGGCATCACGGCCATAAGCGGCGATGTACAGAATTATGTGGGTTATTCGTGACGAATGGATCCCAGTTAATATTTTATATACATCTAAGCAATTAATTTTGGAGACGTTAAATCTGCATTTTATCATACGGTTCTTTGAGTGATGGCAGTGTAATTTTTTCTCGAAACATTTAAAATATATTTGTATTTTTACCGATGCCTGTGAAGGTCTTTTTACGGCATTTATGAGTTGTACTTTTTTACATCCAGAGATCATCTACACATATTTCTGCTGAATTAACATTTGTATGTTTTATAATCAATAGATCAACACGTATCGTATACATACTTGTAAGTCGTAAACCACCTGTTCTGCTGAAATTAAGGATATCTTAATCCATATATGCAAGGAGTCAATCTTGTCTGCCAGAAACTTGTCTGTTCATTATTGGTTAACTACCCCCTATTGTGTAATTAATTTGACAAAGTGACGAAGAACTATGTACTATGTTCTAAGAATAGGTTTGGGAAAATACCTCCAAGGAAAGAATTCGCCCCACAAAAATAATATTTAGGTTGCAAATTCTGTATCAAACCCTCCAAATACTTATTATGAATAATCTATCTAATCTTTCTGGAAACATTTTACCAAAACTTGATTACGAAAGCCATCATGGGTTAGATTTTGATGGTTCTGCTTTCAGCAATTTTTAGAACGCTTCATATGAATAATGCTAATATGAAAGTATATACTGCATCTTTATTTACCTTTCAATGTCGTTTTACTGGGAAGTGTAATAATAGCAAGCTGTTATACCATTGTGATTTTTGAAGTACACACACACACACACACACACTGTATTGTATTTATTGTTACTATTCATTGAAAACCATTCCTCCTTGGGTGAAAGGCAGTGGACAGAAAATGTGAATATATTAAATAAAACTTCAACATTATTCATTTATTTTAAAACTAATTCTGGACTTTGTTTTGAACTTTGTTCCCAAGCTACATGTTTTTACATGTACATGTAGGCTACTGGTACGTGTATGTTAATACCGTAAATGAATTAGACATTAAATTAATAATAATTATACCACATTTTAATATTGTATTTCAGGAAATGGATTCTGTTGATGATCAACCATTCTACCAGTGTAATGTCTGTGATGACAAATTCAATTTGTACACAGACTTGGAGAAACATTGTGAAATACATGTTAAAAGAGACGAAGAAGGATTTTTCCATTGTGATGCTTGTGATAAAACATTTGAATCACAGAGTTGTTTAAATCATAAATGTTCCATCGATTCATCTGTATTATCTTTGTCTCAAATAGAGGCAGAAATAAATGGTTTGACCAGTGCAGTGCTGAGCAGTATTGATGTAAGTGAAGGTTGCTTTTATCAGCTTGTGGAAGCAGACATTATATAATTGTTTAGCTAAAGATTGGTAGCACGATATACCAAAATCTACCCAAATCTACCTAAATCCACCCAAACCACCATTATTTTAACTCATATAATAATAATTTATATCTAATTTGATAATATACGGTTCTTTATGCCAAATTGGAATTTTTAATTTAATGCTGAATTATTGAATAAAATGTTCACAAACATATTTTCTTGCGTATGCGTATTATTTATTTACTATCACTTAAATGAAATAATGAACAAAAACAAGCCCCTCTTTGATAGATTATAATTAAAACTACATAGTATCCACCACCATATTGAATGTACCGGTAAATCGCTAATTATGAGTGGCTACTAATTTTGGAATTAATTAGAGATTCTAATGGAGACCAAAGGATTAAATTTCATCACTGTATTTTGAGTATTTTTTTGTTTTATATTCTTTTAAGTAATTTTGAAAATAACTGTCAATGTTTTTAAATAGTTTTGGCAGAGTTCTGAATTAAATATGCAGAAATGAGCATTATGTATTTTTACAACCGATCTAAATTTCACGTTTCCCTTCCAGCCTCGCTTGTGTTTCTCCACCTCGGAATCGCTCATTAAATTGATAATTCCATATCTCGGATGATAACTTTGCACCTGAATAAATAAACAGCGAGGTGATGGTGACATCTAATATCGACCAGGGCTTTGTGTTGGAGAATTCATCCATGCTTTTGGGGATGAAATTGCCCACTATTTTGAATGCCCAAAGATCGATGTTAATAAAATTGAATAATTTGCTGGACCGATAATTCGTGTTCGCTAGTTTTAATTTACGAACACGCTGTCAAATCTCAAGGACTGCTTCTTAATTTAAAATGTGTTGACCACCTTTTTGGTCATATTAAGCATCCTTGAAAATGGTCAAAAATTGAATTTTTCCTATTTGGTTGCTATGACAACCAAATTTAATCATTGTATACAAGATTTAAAATCTGCAATTTTCAAAATTCCTTAACTTTTTGACATGTTCACATAATTTTGCTTGTATATCTCCATTGCTTCTTATTTTATTAATAATGTCTCGAAAATTTGCAATTTGCTCCTGCAGAAAATATGATAAGTTTAAAAATGTACATGTATGTCCGTGACCTTGGAATTTCCCTTCTGTCAATGGCTTTTAGTGGGGTAGGCGGGCCTAAAACATTACATGTGAGATTGGCACATGTCACATTATACATGTATCTGAAAAAATGAGTTGTAAATACACTAATACCGTATTTTAACATATTTATTTCATTGCAGGAAAGGAATTCTGCTGATGTTAAAACATTACATGAATCTGAGATTAGTGATGAAAAATTTGACTCAAACACTGACACAGAACATCATCGCCATGTTGATATTAAACAAGAGAAAACTTGTGTTGATGGTGAGGATGTTGACGGTAATTCCAATGTTGATGGTTTTGATGCCAGTGATGCTGTTTATGACCATGAGGGGGATAACACTGGTGACCATGGTGGTGCTGATGTTGCTGGAACCAATGAGTTGAATGATGTAGATGATTTACAGACAAGGAGAATACAAGATATATCCGGTAATAAAGGTCTGAAATTAGAAACAAGTGATAAATTACAAGTTCCTGTGATGAAAGAGTCTGATTTACCAGACAAAGAATCATCCCAAATTGATCTTAGTAAACAAACTGAAGAAAAGAAAACAAATGTTACTAAAGGAAGACCTTTTGAATGTGATGTTTGTGGAAAATCATTTATAACTTCTGGTAGTCTAAGAATACATTGGAGAATTCATACGGGAGAGAGGCCTTATAAATGTGATGTTTGTAGTAAAACATTTAGCAGTTTAGCCTCTATACTCATACACAGCAGAATTCACAAGGAAAAAGACTCTGTATGTAATATTTGTGGGAAATCGTTCAGAAAGCATCATCTTCGGGAACACATGAAAACTCATTCTGTGGGAGAAACAGTCGAGTGTAAAATTTGCAGAAAACGATTTAAACAAAAGCGTGTGCTTCGTGAACATGTGAAGGTTCACAGTGGAGAAACAGTCGAGTGTAAAATTTGTAGAAAACGATTTAAACGTAAGCGTGGGCTTCAAGAACATAATGTGAGGGTTCACGGTGGAGAAAAGAATTGTAAATGCGATATCTGTGATGCATTATTTGTTACACGAGGAGAACTGAACAGACATTTGAAAACTCATTTTAATAAGCGTACCCAAGGAAAGGGATGTGATAGAGATGTTGATGATGCAGATGGTTTTGGTGCAAGTGATGCTGTTTATGACCATGGTGGGGATAGTACACAAACTGAAGAAAAGAAAACAAACATTACTAAAGAAAGACCTTTTGATTGTGATGTTTGTGGAAAATCATTTATAACTTCTGGTAGTCTAAGAATACATTTGAGAATTCATACGGGAGAGAGGCCTTATAAATGTGATGTTTGTAGTAAAACATTTAGCAGTTTAGCCTCTATACTCATACACAGCAGAATTCACAAGGAAAAAGACTGTGTATGTGATATTTGTGGGAAATCGTTCAGAAAGAATAATTTTCGGGACCACATTAAAACTCATTCTTTGGAGAAACCATTTGAGTGTAAAATTTGTAGAAAACGATTTAATCAAAATAGTTATCTCCGTAAACACATGAAGACTCACGGTGGATTATTTTCTACACAAGGAGTACCGAGCAACCATCTGAAAAATCAGGATAATACTAAAGGAAAAACTTTTGAATGTGATATTTGTGAGAAGTCATTTACTTTCAAGAGTCATCTGGAAATACATAAATTATTTTCTACACAAAGTAACTTAAACCAGCATGAGAAAATTGATACTGAAATGATGGGTTTTAAATGTGAAGAGGAAACTAATGATGTTGATCATCTGTTTGCTCCTAGAATTAATAATGGAGGAAAACAATTTAAATGTGATGTTTGTGACATGTCATTTACTGGCATGAATAATCTTAATATACATTTCGGCATTCATGCAGGTGGGAAAACTTATAAATGCTGTGTTTGCAGTAAATCATTTAATGATTCAGAGAATCTAACTAGACACAGAAAAATTCACGAGAAAAAAGAACTTGTGTGTGAGTTTTGTGGGAAATCATTTAAAAGATATTATCTCAAAAGCCACATGCAAATGCATTCTGGGGAAAAAACATTTGAATGTAAAATTTGTAGGAAAAAATTTAAACGGAATATTTCACTCAATGCCCACATGAAGATCCATATTGGACGAAAACCTTTCAAATGTGATATCTGCGAAAAATCATTTCTTACACAAAGTAAACTGAAGAGGCATTTAGCAATTCATAGCAAAAAGAAAACGTTTTTACCTGATCAGGAAGAGCAAACAGATGCTAATGGCTGTCTTGTTCCTAGAATAAATATAACAGACAAACCTTTAAAATGTGATATTTGTGAAAAGTCATTTGTTACAAATGCTTGTCTAAATGTACATTTTCGTATTCATACAGGAGAGAGGCCTTATAAATGTGATGTTTGTAGTAAAACATTTAGCAGTTTGGCCTCAAAACTGATACACAGCAGAATTCACAAAGCAAAAGACTGTGTATGTGATATGTGTGGGAAATCGTTCAGAAAGCATCATCTTCGGGAACACATGAAAACTCATTCTGTGGAAAAAACTTTTGAGTGTACAATTTGCAGAAAACGATTTAAACATAAGCGTGGGCTTCGTGAACATGTGAAGGTTCACAGCGGAGAAACAGTTGAGTGTAAAATTTGCAAAAAACGATTTAAACATAAGCGTGGGCTTCGTGAACATATGAAGATTCACAGTGGCAGTGGAGAAAATAATTGTAAATGCGATATCTGTGATGCATTATTTCTTACACAAGGAGAACTGAACAGACATTTGAAAACTCATGAAAATACTCAAGGAAAAACTTTTGAATGTGATATTTGTGACAAGTCATTTACTTGCCAGAGTCGTCTAAAGATGCATAAATTATTTTCTACACAAAGTAATGTAAATCAACAAATTAAAACTAATTCTCTAAAAAGGGATTTCGAATGTGAAGAAGAGGCAGATGATGTTGTTCATCTTGCTCCTTCAGAAGGAAAACATTTTAAATGTCATGTTTGTGGGAAGTCATTTACTAGCAAGGCTAATCTAGTTATACATGTGCGTGTCCATACGGGAGACAAACCATATCAGTGTTGTGTTTGTAGTAAATCATTTAGTAATTCAGCTTCTATACTGATACACAGGAGAATTCATAAGGAAAAAGATAGTACTTGTAATATCTGTGGGAAGTCATTTAGAAAGCATCATCTTCAGAGACACATCAAAACTCATTCTAAAGAGAGACACTTTGAATGTAAAATTTGTAAAAAAATATTTACACGAAGGACAAATCTTCAAGCTCACATTATGAAGATTCATGGAAGTGAAGATGTAGAGATAAATGGGGGTGGTGATAGTGAGGTCAGTGGTGGTGATGATGGGGAGGTCAATGGTGGTGATGATGGTATGGTCAATGGTGGTGGTGATGATGGTGTGGTCAGTGGTGGTGGTGATGATGGTGTGGCCAGTGGGGGTGATGATGATAGTGTGGTCAATGGTGGTGGTGACGATGTAGAGGTCAATGGTAGTGATGATGATGGTGCTGTTAATGGTAGTCCTAATGCTGAGATAAATGATGGCATTAATGCTGATGAGGTTACTGGTGATGATCATGGTGATGTTAATGGTCCCGAGGTTACTGGTGATGCTCACAATGTAAATAGTTGGGATGTTAATAGTAATGATGGCAATGGTGATGATGGTAAGGTTAATGAAGCCAATATAAATAGTAGGGATGTTACTAATGGTGATGATGATGATGGCGAGGTTAATGGTGAAGATGGTAAGGGTAATGGAGCTAATATACATAGTAGGGATGTTAGTAATGGGGATGATGGTGATGATGGCAATGGTGATGATGACAAGGTTAATGGAACTAATATACATAGTAGGGTAGTTGCTAATGGTGGTGATGATGATGGCAAGGTTAATGGTGGTGATGTTTGTAGGAATGCTAATAATAGTGATGTCAATAGTGATGATTGTGAAGTTAATGAAACTAATTTGGACAGTGAAGTAGATGGTTTAAAAAAAAGCAGAATACAAAACATATTGGATAAGAAAGATCAGAAATTGGGGGAAAATGATATGGGGAAAGAAAAACAGTCATGTGAAATTGATAAAACTAAGAAAAATAAAAATCTCTTGATTAATAAATGTCATGAAATACAAGAAGATAAAGATGAGGAAATTGAAGGACATCTTGCTCCTATATTACGCACTAAAGCAAAACCCTTTAAATGTAGTGTTTGTGATCAGTCATTTGCTACCAATGCTTGTCTAAAAATACATTTACGCATTCATACAGGTGAACAGCCCTATAAATGTGATGTTTGTAGTAAATCTTTTAGGAGTCCCTCCTCTCTATTGACACACAGGAGAATTCATAAAGATAAAGATTGTGTGTGCGATTTTTGTGGGAAATCGTTTAGAAAGAATAATCTTCAGGCCCACTTGAAAACTCATTCTGTAGAAGAACCTTCAGAATGTAAAATTTGTTTTAAAAAATTTCGATTAGAGAGCTACCTGCATACTCACATGATGAGGATTCACAGTGATAACCAAGAAAAATCCTGTAAATGCAATGTCTGTGATAAATTGTTTCTAACACATAGCAATCTGAAATCGCATATGAATACCCATACTTGTTTTAGATGTTTTATTTGCAATGTTAAATTCTATAAATCCACCCAACTAGACAGGCATTGTGCAGCTCGGATCAAAGTTATTTCTTGTGCTGTTTGTCATAAACAATTTTGTACCAACACACAACTACGCAATCACTCTAAAATTCATTCAGGAATAAAACCTTTTGAATGTGATGTTTGTGGTAAATCATTTAATGTGAACAGTAATCTTGTTTCACATAAGAAAATGCATACAGGTGAAAAACCATTTACCTGTACTGAATGTAGTAAAACATTTGCAAGAAAGGGCAATCTAGCTATACATATGGTCATTCACAAGGAAGAAAAGAATTTTACTTGTGACATTTGTGGCAAGTCATTTTATTTTAAAAACAAACTTAAAGTTCATTTGGGAACCCATACAGGTGAGAAGAATTACAAATGTGATATTTGTGGTAAATCCTATTCTAGAAGAACTCAACTCAAATATCATGCTTTGACACATACAGGTGAAAAACCTGTTAATTGTGATGTTTGTGGTAAAGCATTTACTTGCGAAAAAACTCGTAATCAGCATGCCAAAAATCATACTAAGGAAAAACACCTCAAGTGTAAAATATGTGGTAAGTTATATGGTAATCCCAGCCAGCTGAAGGCACATTTGATTGCCCACACTGGACATAGACCATATAAATGCCATGTGTGTGATAAATCATTTGCAAGAGAAGGCTATTTAAAAATTCATGGCTACACCCATTCAGAATACAAACCTTACGTATGTGATGTTTGTGATAAAGAATTTTGTGATAAATATGCTTTTAAAATCCACATGATGTTACATTCTAAAGATAATCCTTTCCAGTGCGAGGTTTGTAACAAGTCATTCTCTCAACCAAGCAGTTTATCAAAACACGTAAAGGAGAATCACGGAGAACCGTCCCTAAAATGTAATGTATGTGAGCAATCATTTCGTAAGATGAGTGATCTTAATAGACACATTGTAACTCATACCGGAGCAAAGCCATATAAATGTGAACTTTGTAGTAAAACTTTTATTCTTCCTGTGTGTTTGCAAAAACACATGAAAAGCCATTCCAAGCCAAAACCTTTTAAATGCGAATTTTGTGACGAGTCATTTGTCCAGAGTAATTTTCTACAGAATCATCAAATCAGAAAGCATGACCTTAAACCTTACAAATGTGATGTTTGTGACATGAGATTTAAACAAAATGATAACCTAAAGACACACTTTAGAACTCATACAGGTGAAAGGCCATATAAATGCCATCTTTGTAGTAAATCATTTATTGCTCGAGGTAATCTTGCCAAACATAAGCTCGTTCATACTGGAATGAAACCATTTCAATGTGATGTTTGTAGTAAAACATTTTCTGATAAAAGTAATTTAAACCAACATATAGTAACCCATTCTAAAGAAAACCCATTTGAATGTGAATTTTGTGATAAGGCCTTTAATGCAAAACGTAAACTGAAACTTCACATGAAAGTTCATTCATCATAATACATGTATAGGTATATTTTTTTGTTTTGCTTTAGTGTATTATTCTAAGGCTTTCAATATAACACACATATAAAAGCAGACTTGGATCCCATCAAATTTTGTTTATGTTATTCAAATGGATTTGAATTCCTCTCTTTATATGGATTCGGGGGGGGGGTGGATGGCCGAATGGTTAGCATGTGTGCGCTGTTTCATAAGGTTTCTTATTGAGTCAATTGTATCTGATAATTCTTAATGGCTTGTTACTTTTGATCAGTTTTTAGTCTTTTAAATGCTCCCCTTGTATATAAAACAACCATTATGGACTGCACAGTCAACTTGGCTGCTGTGGGGGGAAGTACATGTATGTTTCGGCTGTTGGCAACCTATCTTTTGTTTTGATACTATTATTTAATGTTTTTAAATATCTTGCTTGGCAGGACTTTCAATGCAAAAGAGACATTAGAGATTTTGAAATCTTTTCAAGTCACCGGAAATATTCATTTCTGATTTTTATTCATTTGTCAGGGTTAATCAAAAAAGATTGCAGACAAAATTTTGATATAAACCTGCCCATCCTTCATAGTAACTAAGGATAGAGCACAATTTTTTTGCTAAGGGAAATGGTATTTTATGTTTTTGTATGGCATGGATGTCATGATTTGAAGGAAAGATAGTCATACCAAACATGATTAAAATTGACGATATCAACATTTTATAACCAATATAAAATATACATGTATTATAATTGATCATTTTAATGAACATTACCACGTTGTAAAAAATATGTTAAAAGGAATAACCAGTAACTTCATATATACATTTTAATGGACTGTAAAGCATATTTGACACCACATAATTTAATCCGAAATCTTTTGTTTTGCTACCATTGTCATTAGCCCAGTTGCAGTAGAACATTTCATTTATTTAGCCATTGTATTCTATAATCTATTGTTTAGGCTGTGAAAATTATTTGAAAATGAAACCAAATTGGTTTAAAAAAAGTTGAACAAAAATATAGTATCTGTTTATATGTTTTAATTAAAATCAGTATGTTAAATAAATACACAATTTGATTGATCATGTAGGTAAGAATATGTTATTCTAATGAAATTTATGTTTTTTAGATAAATAAATAAAGCTTATGAATCATGTATGCAACAATATTTTATCCTAATGAAATTAAGTGTTTTTTTTAAATAAATATATAATGCTTATAAATTGTGGCTTCAATGTTATTTGTTTATGTTCCATCTAACAAAAATACCTACTGATTTTCGACGATTTTCGACATTTACCTCAGAGAAAGTTTATCAGCGTTTTCCTCCTTGTCAGTGATGGAGGATCGAGGGCTTAGCAAGGGACAAAATATTGTCATTTGGATGGGACAAAAAAACGAGGTCCTATGTACACATTGGCATGGATGTTAAACCCCATTTTAGTTCATTTCAACTCCCCTTGTATACAAAACATTAGAGATGCCACAACTCTTATGGACTGATTGGATAACTTAGCTGTTGAGGAAAAATTTTCTGTAAACTTTACGTTAGATTTACATCATTTCTTGACGTTAAATTGTCGTTAAAAAGATGAGCAAAATGATGGTAAACTGACCAACTATTATTACGTAAATTTTACGTAAAATTAACATCATAATGTTATGTGGGCCATGTCAAATCACCCAACGAGTTAAACCATACCCTTATCGATTTAGCTGAAATTTGGTTTATATACTTATTTGGGCAGAAAAAATTGATATTCCAAATTTTAGCTTGATCCGACTGACGGTTCCTGAGATACGGCCATCTCAATTTTGGGGGATTTTGGCCAAAATGGGCGTGACCGCCATTATTTAAATGACCATTACTCAGTAAACAATTGGTCAAAATTGCTGAAATAAGTATTTCTGGAATGGGAATTCCACAAGGATGGAATTTGACATGGAAGACTTTTGAAGGGTGAAGACCCATTGACTTTGAATTTGACCTTGTTCGTGACATTGAGATTAAAGTTGTGCAAAAATTAGCCCAACATGTTTTCTACACAATATCAAATAAATTGAAGATATAATATCTTTTATAAGCCTTTTAAATCATGTCAAATATCCGCCCGCACATGATGCTGAAAATCAGTGCTTTTGCACTTAAAGCAGGATAATGTTCTTGGCCATCTTCAAAGGATAAATGTTGGATTCAAGAGTCTGACATTCTTTGCTCTCTTGGAGCACCGTCACTTACTTCATCTTCATCAAGAAGCTACTACATCAGCAAAAGTGACATCCTGAAAGTTTCAAAGATGTGCAAAGACCGGGTCATTGATGATGAAAATAGTTTGAAAAGAGGATGGTTTGCTGTTTGAATTATAGTTGGCTATCTTTAGGAAGTCTACAGCAGGTTACTATGTCTCCTAAGAACTTATCTTAGAACATAATCCTGCTTTAAGTGCTAAAACATTGATTTTCAGCATCATGTGTCGATATTTGACATGATTTTACAGGCTTATAAAAGAAATTATACCTCCAATTTCTGATTTTGTGTAGAAAACATGTTGGGCTAATTTTTGCATGAACGTTGATCTCATGCTCACGCGTTCCACAAGGTCAAATTCAATGTCAGAGGGTCTTCACACTTTAAAATTCACCCATGTCAAAAATAAAGGCATATTTGGAATTCTTGTAAAATTCCCATTCCCGAAATACTTATTTCAGCAATTTTGACCAATTGGTTACTGAGTAATGGTCATTTAAATAATGGTGCCCACGCCATTTTGGCCGAAATCCCCATAATTGGGACGGACGTTTCTCAGAAACCGTCAGTCAGATCAACCTAAAATTTAGAATATCAGTTTTTTCTGCCCAAATAAGCATATAAACCAAATTTCAGCTAAATCGAAGGGGGTACGGTTTAATTTTTACATTTTTTGGGGTGATTTGACACGGAATGACCCTTTTTTTTATTGTCTGGCAGAGAGCCATATTGACTAAATGAGAAAGACACTGGCCCGCTAACCTTGAGGTCGGCAGTACGCTCCAGGTTTCCCCTTGTCAGGAGTCCTTTGTCCAGTTGTTCAGATGGGACAAAAAACCGAGGTCATGTATATACATTAGCGTGCACGTAAAAGATCCCTTGGCAGTTGGAATTCGATATATGAGTAGGCCTTGGTGCCACCCAAAGCTACCATTATCACAACTAGCTGCGCATCTCAATGATATAGTCTGTCCAACCTAGTGGGTTTTCTCCGGGTCCTCCAGTTTCCTCCAGTTAACGGCCGGAGTTGCGGGTGATTGGCTCATCAGGATAAGAGAACCCTTGACAGTTTTCCTCATATCTCAGTCAGTGTAGAACAGTAGGATGTTAAACCCCATATTTCATTTTGATTTTAAATTAAAAATGACAACTTGGTACAAAGAACGGTCTACTCTCAAATATCAATATAAATTCTGGTGATATCAGTTGAAATAGATTTGGGTAAGTCATGCTCACCCAACAATGACACCCTGACTTTTCAAAATTTTCTTGGAGAACCACTGTGACAAAAAGTGAGAAAATCAGGTGAAAAAACGATGAAATCTGACGTCTTCTGGCAGGCTAACCGTTCAAACCTATCAGATCAAAATACAACTCACATCACCAGAGTCAATAACCGATTCTGTACACTTGGACGTAGCATATTGAACAGAAATTTCAAATCCTGTTTTTATTCAAAAATATAAAAACTTACCATGATATAGTACGGCAACGAGTATTTAACCAAAATATGTTTTGCACTGCTATGCTCTAGCAATGAACTCTATAACTATCTTAATTATATACATCTACTTCGTCCATACGATTTTTATGAATCGAAGCAAACTGTACAAACCCACACTCAAGTCTCCACTCACTAACAGGAGACGAGCACGAGACGGGATCTCCCCCCTTACCTAAGCAACCAATGCTTGAACACATAACAATTGTTAAAATCGGTGAAGGGTGGTCAGACAATCTTATTACTGGTGTACGAAGAACATTTTTAAGGGACAGTCAACAAAAAAGTAAGTGCTTTTGGGGGCGGGGGCATTAAATTTATACATAGTTGGTTTCGCTGTTTTTTGGTGTTGGTGGTGTTCTTATATCTAGTTTATTTTATTTCCTAAGGGTTAGGGCTAGGGTTTGATATATTGTTTGCAGGTTAGATCTAAATATTAAGGCCACCTGCAGATTTATTGATATTGAAACACTGCTCCTTCTTTAGAAATAGAAAGATGCGAGTTGCCAAGTAAATCATTCATCAAAACTCAAAAATCTAACAGTCACAGTCAAAGACTAAATTAAATGTCAGGCTTTAGTCAACTCAAAACTCTTTTGATAGAAATCGATGAAAAGAGCCATAAGAATTTGTGAGTTAATAGGGCTGTCCTGGTCCACGTATGAATTATGGATACAACTACCATGATGGGATGACCAGCATGGCGGCCATGATAGAAGGTTAACAGGTTCTTTGTCGGATTAAGTGATAGACGTCCTGGTAGATGTTTTGTTTGCAGTAAAACATTCCTTTATTATATTCTATGAAAAAAATGGTATTACTTTCTATTCTGAGTATCATTTCAATGTATAGTTTTCAGAAGAGGGCCATTCTTGGACTTCATCCCATTCTCTGGTCTGCAACCAAAGTTGGGTCCATAGATTTACCCAAAAGATTAGATCTATTTCTTAAAGTCACCTTCAGATTTGATCAAAGGTCACAAGATGTAAACAGGGCTAACACTAACCCCAACCCTGGACCTAGCCCGTGTAACCCTAACCCATACCCATGTGCACTAACCTTAATTACATCTCAGCGACCTGAAATCTGTAGCGTGTAGGTGGTCTTAAGAAATATTTCTAGCCTTACCGAAAACAATCCAAATCAACCTTAATTACCCAAAACAACCAGTAGTTTGAATATAATAACACATTTTTAATGGTTTTTTTTCTTTATATACATGTATACAGTAGAATCTGTATGAGCAGCCACTCCTATTCAGTGACATCTCCTTGTAAGCGGTAACGATAAATTCCCCCTGTAAAAATTCTGTTGTTTCATCTCTTTATTCAACGGTTACTCCTCTAACGCGGCCACCGGTCACTATTAAACTAATAAATTCAACAATACATCGCCCATTCAACAGCCATTGTTGAATGATACCATCTTGTCGTTCTTTGTAACACCCCCGCTAATCCTGTGAATAGTAGTTAATTAACTGGACTTCCACTGATCAGGTAAAAAGAAATGTAAAAATAACAAGCAACCCGGAATTATCTGTTAATTAATCTTTTGTTTTATTAAACGACTAACCTGATCATTATTTTCACACGTAACGACACATTATTTGATACTGATTGAATAAAATAAAAGTACCAAGTTTTGTCACGATCATCTAGTATCTCTTTTCCATTGCCACTTTGTTGTTAAACTGACGTTTTAGCACCTCCTATAATATTACATATAGAGTTACACCGCCTGTAAATAGGTGATAAAATCAGCGATGGTTTTTTGTTCATGTGCTTTTTTGATAAAATAAAATGAATTCATCGATTTTCTTCACGAAAATGGATAAATATTATCGAATGCATCACAATGGTAGACAGTAGTATCGAAGGTTGGTACAAAATGACAAGTTTACAGAAGTTATGTCCGAGATTTGAGTTAAGAATTTTCATTCGGCGCAAGATTCAGCCACGGTCAAATTTACTGATGCAAGTATTGATGTTCGCTTCCAATGCATCCAAGCGTAATATTTAATTTATGTCAGCACAAAAAGCACCGAGATTTTATTAAGAGGCCACTCCCGTTAAGCGGTCAGTTGTGAAAATTCCCTTGGGTTGCTGCTTAATGCAGATTCTACTGTATATATACCGGTATAAATATATGTAGGCCTACAGTTGATTAATTAATGTTCCCTAATTTTAGGCTACTCTTTTTTTTTATAGTTCTGAAAAAAATCCCAGAAAAAAATGGAAGATCAATTAAGACTGTTTATATATATTTAGCATTATTTTCAAAGTCAAATCATACCAAATATCTTAAGCATGGTTGTACATAAAAATAAAACCAATTATTGTTGTTTTAGACAAAAACGTAACTGGAACTGATGATTAAAAAAATTCAGACTGAAACCGGATACACTGGGCAAAACAGGCAATGCACTTGTTAACATTGAGTAATCTCCCCTCTATCAAATCTCGTCCAAGCGACTTCAATGAAAATAATCCTCACACATTTTGTTCTTTTTTGAAACAAAATTAATCACTAATTTGTTCAAAACTCATACAATTTATGGCTTAATAAAAATCAATTCGGAAAAACAAAATTATTTAACATTTTTTGCATCACTTGAGAAAACTAGTTATGAAGGTTTTATGTTTGACAACAATCAGCTTCCCTCTACTCAGGTTGGGTTGGATGGCCGAATGGTTAGCACGTGCGTGCTGTATCATAAAGCCTGTCATTGAGTCAACTGGCATGGTTTCGAATCCCAGGTTGTACGTGACAAGGAGTAGGGTCGCCTGTCCAACCTCATTAGTTTTCTCCGGGTCCTCCGGTTTCCTCCGTTTTCCTCCCACTGCTAAAGACCCCTACGCACGCACAAGCGAATTATTGAAATAAAATTGAACCATATGTTAGTTCCGAAATGACCTAGTTTGTGTCGAGTGGACGTTAAACCCCATTTCTCTCTCTCTCTCTCCCTCTACTCAGGCAATGCCTGTTACATATTATGTTTTCCATAAGTACAATGTATGTGTACATGTATACATGCAGTTTATTACTCTATCCTCCGACATGGTTTTCCCTTGTCTTTCGTGCAAGACGGAGGGCCTGACAAGGACAGCTGTCTAGTCGTACACATTAGCATGCATATAAACCATCCCTCATAGCACCCTGTATGGCCGTCTTCATTAGTCGGAGTAAGACGATAAACCCCATTTCATTTCATTATTACCCTGTCACTTTTACTAAATATATTAGTACCGTACCGTAGGTCTAGATGTATTAGTTTAGCTGTTTTCCATAAGTACATGTATGATTGTATGTTCTAAAGTTTATTACCGGTACTCTATCTAGTTACTAAATATATATATATACAGTGTATAGTACGTTGCTGTTTTCCATAAGTACAATGTATGTTATTATCTATTACATGTACTTGATCCAGTTACTAAATGCTAGTATAAGATTAAAGTCTATATTATTACATGTACCTGTATACCTTCCTTGTATCAATATTAGTACATCTACCAGTAAGCTTACACTGGTAAGCTGATATCGTTGACTTATGAACCTGGGCCTTTTAGTAATGAACCTTTTTATCATTATTCTAAACTAATGTTTAGTATGTATAGAAAGTGGTTAGAAATTATACAGTTGTCATTAGCAGTTGTGTAACTAGAGCTGTGAAAGATGTCACTACTGGTGTAAAAGCGTGACTATTTATAACAGCCATCACTATTGAATACACAAACCTGGACAATAGTGGTGTATATCATTCAATAGTCACAGTTTTAACACCTTAAAGACATAACACATATTTAATGACTTCTGCCTGATTACTACCAATTTTAATGAACTAAAAAACATTGTGTATAGACTGATGTCTTTGATCTGCTAGTGCTAGTGTCGTATGTATTCATTTATAAAGTTATTTGTTGCTTAGTGAACGATATCAGCTTTACAGTGTTATACATGTACATGTACCCGTCTATCTATTCTGGTGACCTGGGGGGTTGGATGGCCGAATGGTTACGCACGCGCGTGCTGTACCATACAGTCTTGTCATTGAGTCAACTGGCGTGGTTTTGATTCCCCGGTTGTAGGTGACGAGGAGTAGGGTCGCATGTTCAACCTCATGGGTTTCTCTGGGTCCTCCAGTTTCCTCCCACTGCTAAAAAGACCCCTATACGCAAGCAAATTATTGAAATAAAATTGAACCATGTGTTAGTCCAGAAATGATCTGGTTTGTGTCGCGTGGAGGTTAAACTCCATTTCTCTCTCTCTCTCTCTCTATTCTGGTGACCTAATTCTGGCCTCTGTTAACAGAAACAAAATTTTGAAATAGCATCCCTGATGTGTACCATTCTATATATTGCAGGAAACTGACGATGTTAAAACAGTTCATCATTGTGTTTTATGTGATGAAATATTTCAAGACTACCTTGATCTACAAACACACAACAAGATACATGTAAAGGTGGAAAAGAACAGTGATGACATGGACGTACATTTCGAAGTTGAGAAACCTGATAACGACGTTGGTCAACATGTACATGATAAAAAAGAAGAAATTGAAGATGAACACAATCTGCATGTTAAGATAGATGAAACTAGTGATGTACATGTAGGTTTACATGTTCAAAAAGAAAACACTGAGGATGATGTTCAAAATGGTGATCTACATGTTGAAAGTGAAGAAATTGATGTTGTTAGCTTAGATGGGCCTGCTGATGGACATTTTGGAAATGATGATGGTAAGAATGAACGGGAGAAAACTGATGAAGCCAATGTTGATAATGTACCAGTACATTTTGATGTCCAGAAAACCAATGATGCTGATGTGCCAGTACAGTTTGAACATGGGAAAACTGATGATATTGATGCCGATCTAGCTGATGTACCAGTACAGTTTGAACATGGGAAAACTGATGATGCTGATGCCGATCTAGCTGATGTGCCAGTACAGTTTGAACGTGGGAAAACTGATGATGCCGATGCCGATCTACCAGTACAGTTTGAATGTGGGAAAACTGATGATGCCGATGCTGATATAGCTGATGTAGCAGTACAGTTTGAACGTGGGAAAACTGATAATGCCGATGCCGATATAGCTGATGTACCAGTACAGTTTGAACGTGGGAAAACTGATGATGCCGATGTACCAGTACAGTTTGAACAGAGGAAAAATGATGATGACAATGTTGATAATGTACATGTACAATTTGAAGGAAGGAAAACTGATGAAGCCAATGTTGATAATGTACAAGTCTATTTTGAAGGTGTGAAAACTGATGATGCTGATATAGCTGATGATGCAGTACATTTTGAACAAGGGAAAATTGATGATGACAATTTAATAGTACATGTTGATCAGGAGACAACTGATGATGCTGATAATATGCAGGTACAAAATGAATTGGAAAAAACTGATGGTGTCAATGTTGATAATGCACAATACAAATTTGAAGGGGAGAAAATTGATGATGATGATATTGATAATGTAAAAGTACATTTTAAACAGGAGAAAATTGATGATGACGATATTGATAATGTACCGGTACATTTTAAACGGGAGAAAATTGATGATGACGATATTGATAATGTACCGGTACATTTTGAAGGAGAGAATACTGATTGTGTTGAAATGCGTCACCAATGTCACATGTGTGCTGAAGAATTCTTATCATACACTGATTTAGAAAAACATTGTGAACTACATTTTCAAGAAATCAAGGACTCGAAAACAAAGGCTTTTACCTGTGAGGTTTGTAGTAAGTCCTTTACTTCCAAGGATTATCTGAGGATACACCTAAAGCTTCACATGGCCGAGAAACAATTTAAATGTAACGTTTGTGAAAAATCTTTCAGTACTGCTAGCTATTTATATAAACACAAGAAAATCCATACGGATGACAAACCATTTAAATGTGATGTTTGTGGTAAATCATTTCTACGAAAAGGAGACCTGCGACAACATGCTAATATTCATACTGAGGAAAAACCATTTATATGTAATATTTGTGGTAATTCATTTAACACGAGTGGTTATCTTTCTAAACACAGAAAAGTGCATAGTGGAGAGAGACCATTTCATTGTGATGTTTGTAGTAAAAGATTTCGACGAAAAGGTGACCTGGACCAGCATTCCAAGATACATTCCGGAGAAAAACCCTTTAACTGTAATGTTTGTGGAAAGGCTTTTAGTAGTACGGCAAATCTTAATAAACACAGCAAGATTCATTCTGACATAAAACCATACCAATGTGGTGTGTGTAATAAACCTTTTTTACGCATGAATGATCTCCGTAATCACACAAGGACTCATACGGGAGAACGGCCTTTTAAATGTGATGTTTGTGGTAAATCATTTAGTCAACACAGCTCTCTGCAAAGCCATATGAGTATCCACACTGGGGAGAGACAGTTTAAATGTAATATGTGTGATAAATCGTATCGTGTAAACTGCAATCTCCAGCGACATATTAAAATTCATGCAGGAGAAAAAACAAAAAATGAAATGGAGTGTAACGTCCCACTTGTCTGTATCGACAGCGATAACAAAGACAAAAAAACTTCAGATGTTAGTTAATGTATGCTGTGGCTTAGTGAGTATCGTAGGGTCATAGCTCATTAACAGATGTTAATTAGTTAATGTGTGCTATGGCTCAGTGAGTAATTGTATGGTGATAGCCCACTAACAGATGTTAATTAGTTAATGTGTGCTGTGGCTCAGTGAGTACATGTATGGTGATAACTCACTAACAGGTGTTAATTAGTTATTGTGTGCAGTAGCTTACACTGTAACCTGGATATCATTTAATCTTGTATATTTAGCACTAATTCCTTTCACATTCATTCAATATCATATCTTTGTTTAAAAAATCGTTTAAAATAACTAAAAATCATTTAATTTGTACTTGTGTCCAGTTTAAAGCTGACCATTCAATTTTGATAGTGAAGTGATTGTCTAATTTACAAGCATTTTATTTCTCGATCACTGTTAAAAAATAAACAACCCAATTGATTATTGATGTATAATGATTTATTCTTGAACAATGGCCAGGAAATTAAATACTTGTAAATTGGACACTCAATATCAAAATTAATCAGTTAGCTTTAAACTAGACACATTTTCAAATTAGTTGATTTTGGGTGATTTTTGCGAATTTTTAAACAAAGATTTGATATTGAATGAATGTGAAAGAAATTACACAAGATTAAATGATACCTGGGTTGCAGTGTTAGTGCCTCAGTGGGTATACATGTATGTATGTACATGTATGGTGTTAGCTCACCAGTCGGTATATGTATGGTAATGGCTCACCAGTGCGTGTATGTGTGGTGTTAGCTAACCAGTGCGTGTATGTATGGTGTTAGCTCACCAGTGAGTGTATGTACATATATGGCGTTAGCTCACCAGTGGGTATATGTATGATGTTAGCTCACCAGTGGGTGTATGTATGGTGTTAGCTCACCAGTGGGTATATGTATGGTGTTAGCTCACCAATGAGTATATGTATGGTGTTAGATCACCAGTGAGTGTATGTATGGTGTTCGCTCACCAATGAGTATATGTATGGTGTTAACTCACTAACCCCAAGGTCACAGGTATGATTCCCGTGTTTGTTTGGCATCTGGTAATGACAATAGAATGTCCCATGTAAATGTATACAATTAGCTGTTGTTAATCAAAATCAGGGAAGTTTGTTGTGCTGCTTAAGTCCAATTGTAGGGGCAGAAAAGTTATATGTTAAACCTGTTTCTGTTATATATAAATTATTGCTTACCCAAATACAAATATTTTAATTCTTGCTCTGATTTCACAAAGTTAAGAATTTACTCAAAATTGTTCGTCTTATTTTAACTAAAAAAGCCCTTTATAAAACTTTTGTTTTTTTAAATTATCAAATACATTAAAAAGAAACTATCTGCAAAGTTTTATGATATTTCTCATAAGTCTGAGAATGTTTTGTGAACTCGAGGTCAGATAGTTTTGTGAACTCAAGTCCAGATAGTTTTGTGAACTCGAGGCCAGATAGTTAAGTGAACTCGAGGCCAAATAGTTTTGTGAACTCAAGGCCAGATAGTTGTGTGAACTCGAGGCCAGATAGTTGTGTGAACTTGAGGCCAAATAGTTTTGTGAACACGAGGCCAGATAAATTTTCAAACAAGCCTGAACACAAGGGGCACCTGTCACTAAAGATATCCAGCATAGTTCAGGCTTTTTTCAGACACAAAAACCTCTGGTGCCTGTTATTAAACATACATAATGCAAGAGCTAAATCTGCCTAGTGCAGGTCTTTCTTTAGGCCTGAAATGTTTTCTAAATTATTAATTAGACATTAATTAACTTATCCAGACCATAATCAACTCTCGATGGCATCAGATTTCTCTGATATTTAATAGATTAGAACAGTTCAGCCATATTTTGATTTAAGCCAAAAATGGGGGAGCGAAATTATTGCACACGTCTTTTCAAACCTTCAAAGGCTAGTATCTTCACTCGCAATAGAGTAATTTGAATGAAATTTTCAAATTATTCACTTTACATTATCTATTTTCGAACTATTATAGCTATTCATAAAGTTAAAAATGTCCGGTACAAGTTCATTATAAATTGTTTCGATGGCATTTAGTAATTGAAATGGAATATTCCATAGTTTTGTGACCTGTATAGTTCATTATAGTGTCGGACATTTTGTCAGGTATATGTACATGTACAACGAAAACCATCTTTTGATATTAATTATTGAATATTCAATTCCACTAAAGGAAAAGGGAAAACGAGAAAAATAGAAATAGTCTGTACATTCCCTTGTTTTTATTCATTCCATACTTAATAAAGACATGGTAATGTACAGACTTATTTTATTTTTATTTTTTTATCTTATCTAGTGACAGTCAATTATTTTTTCTGAATTGTCAGATATCCTCTAGCTCACAGTCTCATATATCAACTTTTGGTCTTCGAAGGAATTATTAGTGAGCTGAAATTCGCCAATGTATCTGTTATCACTCGTCACTTCAGTCAGTTATATACAGTATAAGGATAACTCGTTTTTTCCTTATGCGTTCATCGCTTCCCTTTCTTGAAAACTTCATAACACATCTATAGTTGCAATGATCTTTGTGTTAAAATTATATTGGAACGTGTTTAACCAGTTCTATCACATATGTGATAATGACTGACACCAACATGGTCTTTTAAACATGTGTTATACAAGAGCTGAATCTGTTTATTGCAGGTCTTTATTTATGCCCGAAATGTTAAATAGATTATTAATTAGATATTAATTAACTTACCAAGACCGTAATAAACTCTCGTGGCCGTCCTATTGTCTAGATTTTGAACAGATTTAAATCAGATCTGCGGTTCAACAGTGGATGATGATTAACTGTAATTAAATGGAATATTGAGACTTTCTTTATTATCGTAACAACAGTAGCAATGGTAATCGAGGTTAGACTATAATTGTATCTCAGATATCTCTGCTCAAATATTCAACATATTCCCTTTACATTATCTATTTTTTAACTATTATATCGAGATCAGTCAGCTGTTTATCTAAATTTCCATAATGCTGCTTAAGAAACAGAATATTTGATTAATTATGTAAACTTCTATACCATGTATGTTGGCGGGAGGGGGGGGGGCTGGTCTAGTTGTTCAACATGTGCGCGTGAAACATTAGGACTGTCATTGAGCCAAGTGGCGTGGTTTCGATTCCCCGATTGTACGTGACATGGAGTAGGGTCGCCTGTCCAACCTCGTCGGTTTTCTTCGGGTCCTCCGGTTTCCTCCCACTGCTAAAGACACATACGTACAAGCGAATTATTGAAATAAAATTAAACGATGTGTTAGTCCCATGTGTAGAGTGGAGGTTAAACAACGGTGGATTGTGGCTAAAACTATTCTGAAGGGTTAGGGTTAGAATTGTGGGTATAAACACGGAAAGATATTTCTCAGATCGGGAAAATCTAGTATCGTGCATTACGCTGTAATATGCTTGGCTATGTTTTATGCCAGATAGGCGTTCTAATTCCACTAATTGTATACATATTTTGTAATATTAATCATTTGAAAATGTAATTCCTGAATATTTTTAAGTAGAATTAAAAATGTAAATTATCTCATGGTTAGTTTTAATTGGTATATCTTACCAAGAGAATGTGCACTAGTTGAAGGTTCAAGAGAATGTTGTTGACATAGGCCAATTCTGTGTCCCATTTATATATCTTATGAGTTCCATGTTTACTTTTATTTGGTATATCTGAGCTTGACTATCTTTAATGCCAGATAGGTGTTCTAATTCCACTAATTGTATACATATTTTGTAATATTAATCATTTGAAAATGTACTTCCTGAATCTTTTTAAATTGAATTAAAAATATAAATTATCTCATGATTAGTTTGAGTTGGAATATCTTACCGAGAGAATGTGGTCGACATAGGCCAATTCTGTGTCCCATTTATATATCTTATGAGTTCCATGTTTACTTTTAGTTGGTACATCTTAGCAAGAGAAAGTGATGTTTTAGACACAACAGGCCAAAACCAGTCGTAATACACTTCAATTTAAATGGACATACAAGGGGGGGGGGGGGGGCCCCGCTAGATCTGCCTTTGAACATTCAAACACAAAAAAAACAGAGTTAAATCTATAATTTTTGTACGTTTAAATAGTTTCAAATATTATTTTAAAATTGGGATACACTACACTGTATTCTTGGAAAAATTATCTTGCTAATCTGATGTGAAGAAAATAAGTAAAAAACTGACCGACTGCAAGGACGAGGAGTAGGCCTATTTGTTTCCCCTGTATTGGCCGAAAATTCGATAGACATAAACCTTTATATCAAAGACCTGTTGTGTTTTGTCGATATGTAGATGACTTTGTCTTGTGAGTCATCGAATAACATTACAAAGTGTAACATTATTAAACTGAATATCTGATTGTCCATTTTTGTGTTTAATATTATTTGGAAGAACTTATATATATATATGATGTCTGTGAATGTGATAAATAAATACATGTGAGTAGAGATAAATTTAATAGCTTGTGCAGGAGGACTTCACAATATCTGTAAAAAAACAATTGACTAAATGAAATGAAATGGGGTTTAAAAGTCCCACAGTTCTGCTCCGACTGGGCTAATGAAGACAGACATATGCCATACAGTGTGCTATGAGAGAAATTCTGCACTACAGCTAATTCTTATATTGAATTCCAACTGCCAAGGCATCTTTTACATGCATGTCAATGTGTACTTGAGACCCATACAACTGACAAGGGAGGGCCATGCCGGAAAATCCAGATGAATTTTTTTGGTCAACACCAGGATCGAACACCTGACTTCGGAGTTAGTCAGCCAACGTCCTGATCAATGACTCACCGCTACTCCTACTCACAGGACAAGGAGTAGGGTCGCCTGTCCAACCTCATGGGTTTCCTCCAGGTCCTCTGGTTTCCTCCCACTGCTAAAGACCCCTACGCACAAGCGAATTATTGAAATAAAATTAAAGCATATGTTAGTCCCGAAATCACCTAGTTTGTGTCGAGTGGACGTTAAACCCCATTTCTCACTCTCACCTACTCACAGGAGATACACAGTGACTTGTCAAAAATACCCTGGTGAATGGGTCCTGGAACAGGCTGTAAGCACCTTCTGTGTGCTGAACAGGTTAAAAGCGTCAAAGTCACAGAGCTGAGTTTAAATAGGGTTACCGGTACAGTTAAAAATCACTGCGGCCAAAACATGCTGTGTATTTCCAAGTCTGGGGTGTTTTGATTGATAAAACCTTTGTGACTGAAACACATTGTACAGTTCCAAGTCTGATGTCTTTATATTGATAAAACAGATTTATCAGATAGATATAGGTAGTGATGACTTGTGAGTTAATAGAGTAGTTCCAATCCAAGTCAGAATTAAAGATACAGCCGAGCCATCTTGAATTTTGTGTCACAATTTTCATTTTGTTTTTATTGTTCTCTTCACACCAAGATTTTACTAAATTAAAACTCTAGTTTTATTTATTGACGTATAATATTGCAAGAAATTAATCTAGGATAAATGGTAGGTACCAGTCGAGTATATTTATAATTTTGGTGATTGTTCTGTGTTCGCCACAAATTGGCACAAGCCCAAGGGAAGGAATCGATATCATTTCTCGCTGCATCTGACACAAATAATTCAACACAGTAGAATTTTGCATTTTAAAAACAAACAAAAGACTCCGGTCTGAACAGTTTGTATTTTCATTAAAGGCTCAATACCACTCTTGTTGTAACTGAATAATTAAATATGTCCCAATCTTTATTCTGGTCAACAAATTGTACTATTTTACAATATTCAAATTAATTGATGATACAAATTTCATCTTAACACACCTAATTTAAAAAATTGGAAAATTCAACTAAATGATTTGAAAAGCATGACGTAATTAAAGCTTTTCAAATGTGACTTGGATTTAAAAATATTTTTGAACCCTCTGGACAAGTAAAATAGGATTTAATGGATAATTTACACAACAGGTAGGACACTAACAAATCTAGTACTTAGAATAAGGCTATTTTTTATTTTCTGGAGCTGTCAAGCCAGCAAGAGTGTTATTGTCCCTTTAAAGGAAGCCTATAGATTTCGAATTATTTCTGTGAATAATGTTGTATACCGTGTATAATAAGGCAGTGGCTATTGTTACGACGAGTCGTAAAAATAGTCCTCAGGCTATTGTTACCACGATGCTTTCAGAGCCCCCGTTACCACGATGCTTTCAGAGCCCTCCATCGGCGAAGTTAAAAATTTAATTAGTCGAAAAATGATCCTGTAGCTATTGTTACGACCTCGATTTCTATTAGCCCGGCTACTCCTCTGAATCAATGGATTTCAACTTCACTACAGGCCCAGATCTAGGGGGCCGTGCCCCCCCCCCCTCAGCTC